CTGGACTCTAGCCTGTGTGAGAGATCAAAGGAATCTGGAATCTTTTCCTACCTGGCCCAGCGTAGCTACAGGGGCAGGAGAGCAGGGAGGAATAGGAACTTGCAGGCAGCAGAGGGTGGCTGGCCAGCAGCAAAAGGAGCCCCCAGCAGTGGCCCCTCTGCTCCGGCAGGCCAGCCCTGCCCTGTTAGGAGGGACAGTGCTGGGGTCCGGGTGGAGCCGAGCCGGCGGGCACACTCACTCTGTGACGGTCACCAGGTGGCAGGACACGTCTATGTGCAGCTCGATGTTGGTGTTCTCCAGCTCCACCAGGCTGCGCTGCATCTCCATCTGCTCCTTGAAGGCCCCGATGAGCTGTGCCTGGATCTTGTTCATCTGTACGTGGCTATCCTCTGTGTCATGGGACAGCATCGGGACTGCGGGCAGGAAGGGAGCTGGCTGCACCAGGAGCAATGCTACTTAAGCCAGGTTTGAACTCCGTGCCTGCCCACCAAGATGGTGTCTGGCCCACAGATAAGCTCAGTACACGTGGATGGATGAGTGAATGGAGATGGACAGGTGGGTGGTGGATGATGGATGGACGGATGATGGATGGATGGATGGATGGATGAGTGGATGCATGGGTGGATGGAGGGAGAGAATAGTTGGGGAAGGGTGGATGGATAAAAGGATAGATGGACGGATGATGAGGATGGATAAATGGATGGATGGATGGATGGATGAGTAGATGAATGGGTGGTGGATGGAGATGAATGGCTGAATGGAGATGAATGGAGATGGATGGATGGACAGATGGATGAGGATGGATAAATGGGTGGATGGATGGATGGATAATGGATAGATGGATGTATAGATGGATGGATGGATGAATGAGTAGATGAATGGGTGGTGGATGGAGATGAATGGCTGAATGGAGATGAATGGAGATGGATGGATGGACAGATGGATGAGGATGGATAAATGGGTAGATGGATGGATGGATGGATAATGGATGGATGGATAGATGGATGGATGGATGAATGAGTAGATGAATGGGTGGACGGATGGAGATGAATGGTTGGAGATGGATGGATGGATGGACAGATGGATGAGGATGGATAAATGGATGGATGGATGAAGATGGATGAATGGATGGGTGGATGGTGAATGGATGGATGGTGGATAGGTGGACAGATGGATGGGTGGTAGATAGAAGGGTAGATGGGTGAACAGAGGATAAATGGATGGATGGGTGAGTGGGTAGATGTGTAAATGGGTGGATGGGTAGATGGATGGTTGGACTTATGGATAAATGGATAGATGGTTTAGAGAAATTTAAACCCCCTCTTTCCCTGGCTTGGGGTCAGGCTACCTGGATTTGAGTCTCAGGAACCCAAATAGTGTTGAGTATTGGTCAACCATCTCAGCTCAGACCTCAATTTCCCAGTGAAACATTCCCAGACTCTCACTCAGCTACCTGCCACCTGCTCTGATGACACCCTGCCTCCTCTTTCACAGTGTTCTACACATCTATGATTAGGTAACATTTTGTGATAAATGTTTTATATCTGTCTTTTCTGCTAAAATGTAAGCTCCATGGGCAAAATCATTCCTGTCTTCCTGTTTCCCACAGTGAGTTCCTACCTAATAGTTGCCCAGCAGGTAATCAATGTTTTTCCCTGTCTGCCCCAATAGATGGCTCCACCCTGGACATGCATGGTTTGTCCAATCTGTTCCCATGACCTTGAGGGCAGTGGTCAAGAGCTGCCTTTCCCTTAAATGTCAAGTAAACTGGGGTTGGCAAAATAAATTATGGCACATCCACATGATGGAATTACTGCAGTCATTAAAACAAAGTTTTCGGGCTGGGTGCAGTGGCTGATGCCTATAATTCCAGCATGTTGGGAGACTGAGGTGGGTGGATCACTTGAGGTCAGGATTTTTTTTTTTTTTTTTTTTTTTTTTAATTCTGTTGCCCAGGCTGGAGTGCAGCAGCACCACCTCAGCTCACTGCAACCTCCATCTCCTGGGTTCAAGCAATTCTCCTGCCTCAGCCTCCTGGGTTATATTGGGGTTTGGGGGTTTAGGGTGCCCTCAGCTTTCCTGAGAGGAGGTTTTTTCAGGTTTTTGGTCTCCTGCCCTCTTAAGAATGAGAGAGGGGACCACAGCACAGTGCGCAGTAAATGCCGGACTTAAAGGTGTTTGTAGAAAGTGATTTATTAAAAGAGTGAGAGAAATAGGAGAAGGAGAGAGGAAGAAACAGGTAACTCTCACACGGAGTGAGAGAATCCAGAAAGATGGAAGGCAGGAGAGGAAAGCAGCTTCCACACTGAGTGGAAGAGAATAGAGAGAGATGGAGTTTAGGAGGGGAAGACAGGTTTCCACGAGAGAGTGTGGAAGGGGACTCCAGAGGGAAAATCCAGGAGAAAGACGGCTTCCACAAAGGGAGTGTTCCTGGAAGGGAATCCAAACATGGAGTCCTAAGGCGTGCAGAAGAAGAGGACTTTTAACCTGGGAGGAACCCCCACCTTCTCTAAGACCCCGGGCCAATGAAAGGAGTTCCTTAGAACTTCCAATGGAGTAATTGACTCTTAGTTTCTTCCCACACCTGTGAAATTCAAACGTAAACTGCTAAATCTCCCGGATGGAGAGAGATGGGAGTGGGGCATGGCATTGGGAAGTTTTTGCCCTAGAAACTACGCTGCCTCGTGGATCTGGAAAGAGAACACATTCCCTCATTCTCCGCTTTGAACAAGAAAGCCCAACTTCTGTTGGAACGCGGACGTTGACTGCTTTTTAACTACTTTCTGCTGAAATGGGGCGTAGAAGGGGCCCTGAAGTTGAGGTTTTTTTTTTCAGAGGGGAGCCTTTTAAGGGTGCAGGTTGATTTAGAGGTTTACGATAGAGCTTACAAGCCAAGGACATCCGCAGTTCCAGTGGCAGGATTCTTTGTGACCTTACGGTTTTATAAGAAACGAATGTGACAAGGTGGTTAAAGATAGAGGCCCAGACGCCAACAAATATAGAATGGTTATACACAAGCCTAGGAGAAAATAGAGCCAGGACAGTTTTTTTTTTTTTTTTTTTTTGTTTTTTTTTTTTAATAAGAAAAAGAATAAAGAAGAGGAAGAAAGAGAAAGAGGAAGAGGGAGAGAGGGTGGGGGTATTGCTTTATTGCCCGGGCTAGAATGCAATCTAAATATGGGTATGCCTATAATTGTCCTTAATAATGAAGATATAAAAGAAAATGAGGGAAGAGAATAACAAACAAGGAGCCAACCAACATTTCGTTTAAACTTCTAAGTTGATATGATGTGGTACTGATAAGAGTATATATTTTGTATATTTAAAGTGGAGAGTTCTATAAATGTTAATTACATTTACTTGTTCCAGATCTGAGTTCAAGTCCTGGATATTGTTGTTCATTTTCTGTCTCACTGATTTGTCTAATATTAATGTTGAAGTCTCCCACTATTATTATGTGGGAGTCTAAGTCTCTTTATAAGTCTTGTATGTCTGCGTATTCCTGTATTGGGTGCGTATATATTTAGGATCTTTAGCTCTTCTTGTTGTTGCATTGATCCTTTTATCATTATATAATGTCCTTCTTTGCTTCTTTTAATCTTTGTTGCTTAATTGTAACTTCTGCTTTTTATTTATTTATTTTAGCTCTCTGTTTGGTTGGTAAATCCTTCTCCATCCCTTGTTTTAAGTCTTCGTGTATCCTTGAATGTGAGATGGGTCTGGATGCAGCATACTGATGGGTTTTAGTTATTTATTCAAATTGCCTGTCTGTCTTTGGATTGGGGGATTTAGTCAAATTAAATTTAGAATTAATAATAATATATGTGAGTTTAATACTGCCATTTAATATTAGCTGGCTATTTTGCCCATTAGTTGATGTAAATTCTTCATTATATTGATGCTCTTTTTGATAATTTTTTTAGAAAGGCTGATACTGTTTGTTCCTTTCTATGTGTAGTGGTTCTTTCAGAAGCTCTTGTAAAGCAGGCCTGGTGGTGATGAAATCTCTGAGTGCTTGCTTATTCACAAAAAACTTTATTTTTCCTTCACTTGTGAAGCTTAGTTTGGCTGGATGTGAAATTCTGGGTTGAAAGTTCTTTTCTTTAAGGATGTTGAATATTGGCCCCCACTCTCTTCTGGCTTGTAGGGTTTCTGCTGAGAGATCTGCTCTAAGACTGATAGGCTTCCCTTTGTGGGTAACCTGGCCCTTCTCTCTGGCTGCCCTTAGTATTTTCTCCTTCATTTCAACCCTGGTGAATCTGACGATTATGTGCCTTGGAGTTGCTCTTCTTGAGGAATATCTCTGTGGTGTTCTCTGTATTACCTGGAGTTGAATATTATCCTGCCTTACTAGGTTGGGAAAATTTTCCTGAATAATGTCCTGAAGCGTATTTTCCAGCTTGGATTCATTCTCTTCGTCACATTCAGGTACACCTATCAAGCGTGGATTAGGTCTTTTCACATAGTCCCATATTTCTTGGAGACTCTGCTCGTTCCTTTTTATTCTTTTCTCTCTAATCTTGTCTTCTTGTTTTATTTCATTGAGTTGGTCTTCGACCTCTGATATCCTTTCTTCTGCTTGGTCAATTCGGCTGTTAAAACTTGTGCATACTTCTTGTAGTTCTCATATTGTGTTTTTCAGCTCCATCAATTCACTTATTTTCCTCTCTAAATTTTGTATTCTTGTTGACATTTCGTCAAATCTTTTTTCAAAGTTCTTAGTTACTTTAGATTGAGTTAGAACAAGTTCTTTTAATTCACAGAAGTTTCTCATTATCCACATTTTGAAGCCTGCTTCTGTAATTGGAACACACTCGTTCTCCATCAAGCCTTGTTCCGTTGCTGATGAGGAACTGTGATCCCCCGCTGAGGGAGAGGCGTTCTGATCTTGGGTATTCTCAGCCTTTTTTGGCTGTTTTCTTCCCTTCGTTATAAATTTATCCATCTGTGGTCTTTGTGTTTACCGTCTTTGTAATTGGGTTTCTGAGTGGACGTCCAACTTATTGATTCTCAGCGCCGAAATCTGAGCAACCCACTGCACCGACTAAATCAGCGGCGTTAAGATTGATGGTGCTTTTCTGACTCTGCACCAAGAACCGTCGCTCCAAGGCGCCGGCAAAACCGCCTCGCCGGTCACAAGAGTCGCGCTGGCGACCCGTGGGGCTCCTCCGCTGGGAATCTCCTGGTGCGTGAGCGACAAGAATTCGTGTGAAGGTGTGGCGTCCTCTCGTTCTTTGTGCTTTTACTGGGAGCTACAATCCCGAGCTGCTAGTGATCAGCCATCTTGGAGGTCAGGAATTTGAGACCAGTCTGGCCAACGTGGTTAAACCCTATCTCTACTAAAAATACAAAAATTGGCCAGGAGTGCTGGCAGCTGCCTGTAATCCCAGCTAAATGGGAGGCTGAGGCAGGAGAATCACTTGAACCTGAGAGGCAGAGGTTTGAAGTGAGCCAAAATCATGCCACCACACTCCGGCCAACAGAGCAAGACTCCATCTCAAAAAAAAAAAAAAAAAAAATGTTAGCCAGGTGTGGTGGCACGTCTGTAGTCCTAGCTACTCAGAAGGCTGAAGCAGGAGGATCACTTAAACCCGAGGCTGAGGCTACAGTGAGCTATGATTGTACCACTGCACTGCAGCCTGGACCACAGAGCAAGACCCTGTCTCTAAAGAAAAAAAAGGAAAGAATCTAACCCCTATTTACAAGGGAAGAATTAGAGCTCTGGGTCGGGACACAGTGAGGTGGTAGCCAGGTTGAAACTAAAGCCCAGGCAGGGCCACCAAAGTGCTCTCTGGGTGCAGGTGCTCAGAGTGGCCCAAGCACACAGCCCCAGACAGGGAGGGGTAACCAGGACAGGGACGTGTCCTGCAGGCCCTGGGGGGGTGACAGTGCTTCTGCGCTGCAGGGGGCACACAGCAACATATTAAAGCTTATGTACATGGCATTTGAGGTCAGGAGTGGAAACATACTGAAGCGCTGTGTGTATGTTATTTGTGCATGGGAATGAAACTCCTTGACCCTGAAAACAGGACGGGAAGTGGAGTGTGTGGTGTGATAAGGAACGCTGAAAACAGCCTCCTGAGAATGCAGTTTGAGTGCGTACAAGGTCACAGGTGCCTCAGTATCCCACCTCAAATAACCATCTAGTGGATGTCTGTAGTTAATACAAGCCCTTCAATAAATACTTGGTGGATGGATGGATGGGTGCTGGGGCCGACTCTCTCAGAAGAGATACTCCCTAGCCCCGCTCTACTGGAGCTGTCTGAGTACTTCATTCTCGGCATTCACTGCAAGCTATAGGCTCTGTGCTGCACCTGCAGGAGGCACCAGCCCCCACTCGGCCTGCCTACCTCGGGCATCCTGGATGCCGGCTTCACTTTTCTTCTCCTTTGCTTCTCAATTTTTGATTGGAGGTTCTGGATCTCCCTGCGCAGGTCGGAGATGACCTCCGTGTACTGCGCGATGCGATAGGAGACCTTCAGCGGGTTGCACTTGACCTAGCAGGCAGGACACGCAGCCAGAGTCAGACCAGGCAGGAAATGCCCCACAAAGGATGCGTTTGAAAGAATGAAATATGGGCCAGTCGTGGTGGCTCACACCTGTAATCCCAGCACTTTGAGAGGCCGAGGCGGACAGATCACCAAGTCAGGAGTTCAAGACCAGCCTGGCCAGCACAGTGAAACCCCATCTCCACTAAAGGTACAAAAAGTTAGCCAGATGTGGTGGTGCCCACCTGTAATCCCAGCTACTTGGGAGGCTGAGGCAGAAGAATTGCTTGAATCCAGGAGGCAGAGGTTTCAGTGAGCCGAGATCTCACCATGGCACTCCAGCCTGGGTAAGGATGTGAGACGCCATCTCAGAAAACAAACAAAAATATGTAAGAACGCAAACATGCATTTGTTATAAAATTGAAGTTGATGCTATTCAGCCTGAAAAAGGAAGGAAATTGGCTAGACATGGTGGCTCACACATGTAATCCCAGCACTTTGGGAAGCCGAGGCAGGAGGATCACTTGAGCTCAGGAGTTTGTGACCAGCCTGGGCAACATAGCAAGACCCCATCACTACCAAAAATTCAAAACTTAGCCAGGTGTGGTGGCTCATACCTTTGGTCCCAGCTACTTGGGAGGCTGAGGTAGGAGGATCACTTGAGGCTAGGAGATTGAAGCTGCAGTGAGCTATAATTGCACCACTGCACTTCCAGCCAGAGCAATAGAGCAAGACCCTGTCTCAAAAAAAAAAAAAAAAAAAAAAAGAAGGCAATTCTGAGAGTTGGTATAAGATCGATGGACCTCGAGGACATGCTGCTGAGTTAAATAAGCTGGTCCCAGCAGGACAGATACCGTGTATTCTACCTACCTGAGGCCCTTGGCTAGGAGTGGTGGCTCATACCTATAATCCCAGCACTTTGGGAGGCCAAGGAGGGCAGACCACTTGAGGTCAGGAGTTTGAGACCAGCCTGGCCAACACAGTGAAACCTTAACTCCATTAAAAAAATACAAAAATTAGCTGGGCATGGTGGCAAGCGCCTGTAGTCCCAGCTACTCATGAGCCTGAGGCAAGAGAATCACTTGAACCCAGGAAGCAGCAGTTGCAGTGAGCCGAGATCATGCCACTGCACTACAGCCTGGGTGACACAGTGAGATTCCATCTCAACAAAAAACAAAAACCCCACCTACATGAAATCCCTCAAGTCCTCAAATTCATAGAGACAGAAGGTAGAATGCAAGGTGCCAGTGGCTGGGGAAGGGGATGAGCAGTTACTGTTTAATGGGTGCAGAGGCCGGGCACAGTGGCTCATATCTGTAACCCCAGCATTTTGGGAGGCTGAGACAGGATGATCACTTGAGCCCAGCAGTCCAATACCAGCCTGAGCAACACAGGGAGATCGTGTCTTTACAAAAATACTGAAAAATTAGCTGGGCATGGTGGTGTGCACCTGTAGTCCCAGCTGCTTGGGGGACTGAAGCGGGAGGATGGCTTGAGCCTAGAAGGTCAAGGCTGCAGTGCAGAGCTTCGGTTTGGGAAGATGAGCAAGTTGTGGAGATAGATGGTGGTAATGGTTGCACAAAGACTTGTTTTTCCCAAGACAGATTCTTGCTCTGTCACCCAGGCTGGAGTGCAATGGCACAATCCGGGCTCACTGCAACCTTCGACTCACAGGTTCAAGTGATTCTCCTGTCTCAGCCTCCCAAGTAGCTGGGATTTCAGGCATGTAACACCATGCCCAGCTAATATTTTTGTATTTTTAGTAGAGACAGGTTTTCACCATGTTGGCCAGGCTGGCCTCGAACTCCTGACCTCACGATCCACCTGCCTAGGCCTCCCAAAGTGTTGAGATTACAGGCGTGAGCCACTGCACCCAGCCCGACATGAATGTACTTAATGCCACTGACTGCACACTTAAAAATCTGAAGTCCAAGCGCCTGAAGTCCTCACCCTGGTCTTGATATTCTTGGCCCTGTAAGCGTACGGCAGCGTGGTCCGAGACTCCTCAAAGCAGGTGCTGGCTGGGCTGATGTGGGTGATCATCACAGTGCGGCTGTTCCCACCTAAGGCATCCTGTTCAGGGGAAAACCGCTGAATGGGGGTGAGGGGAGCCTCAGGGTGCCACCTGTCCAGGGGTGCTAGCCTTGCCCCAGCCGTCGCCAGGACATCTGAGATTCCAGCTCCAACCCCTGAAAAGGGCAGCTGGTGCCAGAACCCAGGGGTCAGTCCTCAGGGAGGTGACCCTGATGATGAAGTGGGACCCTTTCCAGGCCCACCCCATCCGACTTCAGCTCTGATGAGAGCAGATTGGACCAAGGGGTCAAATTTACAGAAACATTTCTCTTTACATTTTTTTTTGTGGTTGTTTTTGTTTGTTTTGTTTTTGAGATGGAGTCTCACTCTGTCACCCAGGCTGGAGTACAGTGGCACCATCTCAGCTCACTGCAACCTCTGCCTCCTGGGTTCAAGTGATTCTCCTACCTCAGCCTCCTGAGTAGCTGAGTAGGATTACACACCTGTAATCCCACACCAGGATAACTGTATTTTTAGTAGAGACAGGATTTCCCCATGTTGGCCAGGCTGGTCTCGAACTCCTGATCTCAGGTGATCCACCCACCTTGGCCTCCCAAAGTGTTAGGATTACAGGTGTGAGCCACTGCACCTAGCCTACTGTTTTACGTATGTGTTAATTCATACCCCACCTTGCTGTGGAATGGAGGTGCTGCCATTTAGCTCACAATAAAGGATAGTTTTCTCAGAGTCAAAGCCCTCCACGACGGGGAGCTAGCTGTGGATGGGTGGTGAGCTTCCTGTCGCCTGGGATATGCAAGCACAAGCAAGATCATACTTTCGAGGGAGTCAGGCAGTGACTAGAGATGGCATCTGCCGTGTTTTCTGGCCCTTATCCAGGTCTGGCTTCTCTCTGGCTGGTATCTCCTGAAAGAGCAGGGTCTGCGCCCACCCTCCAGGGCCCGCAGCACCCACTTTCAGCAGGCGTGTGAGCTTGCTGTCCCGGAAGTTCACATACTGCGCCCGGCTGCCACCCTTCTCACTGAGCACGTTGATGCAGTTGCCCAGGGCCAGCAGTGAGCGGTTGATGTGTGCACCATCCTTCATCCTCTTGCCTCGGTTCTGGCTCTGCACAACGAGGGGCCGAGCTGAGGTGGGAGGTCTTAGTCCTTCCTACCTGCCAAGCCCCATCCTGGTTTCCAGGGAGGGGACTGAGGCCCAGAGGGTGGAATAACCCCACCCCACCCCAACCCTAGGTGCTCTGTCTCTCAGGCACTGATTACAATCCAGAATCCTCTGGGGATGTAGGATTCGGTGGGAGAAATATTTCGCTACAGCCACCAGAAGCCACGATGCAGAGCTCCCCGCCAGTGTTGAAAAGATGCTCATCACTGAGTGAGGTAAAGACAGCCCAGGCTCAGTGGCTCACACCTGTAATCTCAACACTTCAGGAGGCCAAGGTGGATGGATCACGTGAGGTCAGGAGTTCAAGACCAGCCTAGCCAACATGGTGCAACCCCGTATCTACTACATCAATAGCCGGTGTGGTGGTGGGCGCCTATAATCCCAGCTACTCAGGAGGCTGAGGCAGGATAAAAGCTTGAACCCAGGAAGCAGAGGTTGCAGTAATCCAAGATTGTGCCACCGCACCCCCGCCTGGGTGACAGAGTGAGACTCTGTCTCTAAATAAATAAATAAGGTAAAGAGAGAAAAGTCTGTGCAGAACAACTCCAAATTTTTGTTTGGTTTTTGGTTCTGGGGATGGAGTCTCACTCTTGTTACCCAGGCTGGAGTACAATGAGGGTAACAAGAGAGAGATCGCTGGCTCAATCTCAGCTCACTGGAGCCTCCACCTCCCAGGTTGAAGCAATTCTCCTGTCTCAGCCTCCCAAGTCGCTGGGATTACAGGCACCCACCACCATGCTCTAATTTTTGTATTTTTAGTAGAGATGGGGTTTTGCCATGTTGTCTAGGCTTCTCTTGAACTCCTGACCTCAGGTGATCCACTCGCCTTGTCCTCCCAAAGTGCTGGGATTACGGGCGTGAGTGCTGGGATTGCACGCCTACTTTTTGTTTGTTTGGTTTTTTTTTGACAGTTTCATTCTGTCACCCCGGCTGGAGTGCAGTGACGTAATTATGGCTCACTGCTGCCTCAACCTCCTGGGCTCAAATGATCCTCCCACCTCAGCTCCCTGAGTAGCTGGGACTACAGGCAGGTACGACCATGCCCAGCTAATTTTGTTTACCTTTTGTAGAGACAGACTTGTTATGTTGCCCAACCTGGTCTTGAACCCCCCTTGAACCCCTCAAGTGATCCTCCTGCCTTGGCCTTCTGAAGTGCTTGGATTACAGGCATGAACCACTATGCCCCGCCCAACCCGTTTTTATAATAAAAGTAAGGAAGGAGCCCTCTGAAACATTCTCATCCATCAGGCCCCTCCTCAGGGAGCACCTTGACCTCATCTGCAAAGGGGACTGTAGCACCCCGTCACGACCCTTCACCAGGTCGTCCTGTTTATTTCCCTCAAATCACTTCACTCAGTGATGGACTTATCTTAGATATGTCAGTGATTGATTCTCCACCTGCTTCCCCATCAGAATTCAGCTCCGGGAGGGCAGAACCTGCCACTCTTGTTGGCTTGTGTCCCCAGAGCTCCAAAAACCAGCGGGTGCCTGGTTCACACAGGTGCTGTGTGCAGAATGAATGGCAATGCATGCAGAAGCCTCGAAAAGCAGCCGCCCTCAGGAAGATGCCCACCACGTGCAGTCATGGGGGGTGGGAATCATCATCTTCTTCTTTTTTTTTTTTTTTTTTTTTTTTTTTTTGAGACAGAGTCTCACTCTGTCACCCAGGCTGGAGGGCAGTGGCACTATCTCGGCTCACTGCAACCTCCGCCTCCGGGGTTCAAGAGATTCTCTCCTGCCTCAGCCTTCTGAGTAGCTGGGATTACAGGTGCCCACCACTACAGCCTGGTAAATTTTTGTATTTTTAGTAGAGATGTGCTTTCACCATGTTGGGCAGGCTGTTCTCGAACTCCTGACCTCAGTTGATCCACCCTCCTAGGCCTCCCAAAGTGCTGGAATTACAGGCGTGAGCTACCACACTGGGCCCACTTTGCCTTTCCATAATATCACATTTGAAATCAGAAAAAGTAATTACTAGCCAGGCACAGAGGCTCATGCCTGTAATCCCAGCTCTTTGGGAGGCCAAGGCAGGAGGATCACTTAGGGCCAAGAGTTCAAGATCACAGGGGCCACAGGGAAAGCATCAGGGTTGGTCAGAAGGCCGAGGGGGAGGGGGATCGTGGGTGAGAGACCTGACGGTGGCTTTCCAGGGAAGGCACAGGTGAGGCTGGGTAAGCAGGCTTAGGGTTGGCTGCTGGGATAATTTCAGCAGGCTCTGGAGCCTGGGGCTGTAACTGGTCATCTGGTACCTGGCCTGGGTGACAAGGGCAGGTGGATGGTGGCTAGAGTGTGAGAACCCACAAAGGAGAGCGAGACCCCATCTCTACCAAAAATTTAAAATCAGCCAGGCGTGGTGGTGCACACCTGTAATCCCAGCTACTCAGGAGGCTGAGGCAGGAGGATTGCTTGAGCCCAGGAGGTTGAGGCTGCAGTGAGCCAAGATCTCACCACTTCACTCTAGCCTGGATGATAGAGCGAGACTCTGTCTCCAAAAAGAAAAAAAGATTGCCAGCATTTCTTTTCCAGGGCATGGGTTTTAGAGTCACTGGGAGTGTGGTTTGAAAATGTCTTCAACTACTTATCTCAGGCAAATCCTCCAATCTGCGTCTCAGCCTCTTTATTTGCCAAAAGGAGCGATAACCCCAGCGTCATCACAGAGTTGTGGTGAGGTCACCCTGGGATAATGTGTGTGAGAGGCCAGCACAGACAGGCCAGGGAAGCGAGCAGCAAGAGTCAGCTGTCACTTCCATCAAGCAGGAACCAAGCTGGGCAGGACACAGCTGCCGACACCACCCAAAGCCCAAGGGTTGTGTGTCTGTGTTGCAGAGTTGGGGCCTTTTTTTTTTTTTTTTTGAGATGGAGTCTCACTCTGTCGCCCAGGCTGGAGTGCAGTGGTGAGATCTTGGCTCACTGCAATCTCTGCCTCCTGGGTTCAAGCGATTCTCCTACCTCGGCCTCTGGAATAGCTGGGATTACTGTCACCTACCATCACACCCGGCTAATTTTTGTATTTTTAGTAAAGACATGGTTTCACCATGTTGGTGAGGCTGGTCTTGAACTCCTGACGTCAGGTGATCTGCCTGCCTTGGCCTCTCAGCATGCTCAGATTACAGGTGTGAGCCACCGCCCCTGGCCTGGTTGGGGCCTTTCTTGGAGACCCTGTGCTCCGGAACAAACTCTTTTGTGATGCTTTTCTATGTAGAAATAGTCTGTGAGAGCCAAGCACTGCCAAGCACAGCCCACTTAGACCACTGAATGTACAGCTAAAACACTAAGGCCCAGAGAGGGGCCTCGGCCTCCCAAAGACACACAGCAAGTTGGAGCAGAGCCAGAGCGAGGATGCAAGGCCTGGACTCCCGCCCGGTGCCCTCTGCAAAGCCACGCCCCAGGAGGCTGGTCTCCACTTCGTCCGCTAAGGACACAGCCCAGCCCAGCTGGGTCGGGCCGGCCTCCTCGCTCCTGCCCAGGGCCGCGTGTTGTTTCCGCCTTCACGCTCAGCCATGTCTGTAGGAGACTGTCTGCGCCCCCACCTGTCTGAGCCTTTTTGTCTTTTTCTTTCCTGTATTCAGATGCTTTGACATCTGAGGCCTCGACCCCAGAGAGACAGCTCCTCCCAGGGCGAGCCGATGCCTAAAGACAGTAAGCAGCTCACCTGTGAACACACCGTTCATCTACAAACCAATCCAGAGCCCATTCCCTGACCCCTCCTCTATGGGGCTGTCACTCTCTGCCACCACGCGGCTGACCTCATCACACAGGGCCAGGTACCAGATAACCAGGGACAGCCCCCAGGCCCTGGAGCCTGCTGAAATTATCCCAACAGCCAACCCTAAGCCTGCTCACCCTGCCTCGCCTGCTCCTTCCTGTGAAAACCATCATCAAGGCTCTCACCCACGTCTGCCCCCTCCTCTCCCTCCTGACCATCTCACCCAATCTCCCTCCTCCTTGGTCTCCTGACCAACCTTGATGTGTCCCCGTGGCGTGTCCTGCCCCATCTTCTTGGGATCTGTGAGTAACAGGTGATCTTTTCCATGGCAATTGTCTCCTGATCTGCTGGGCTCACTGCACCTCAAGTTTCCTACGAATCCTCTCTATCTTCCAACAGCCTGATGCCGGGACCCTGGCCCTGCTGGTTTCAGCATCCGCAGCACCAGGGGCAGGAGCAGGCACAGTGCAGGGAGTGACCAAATAAGCAAAACAACTCATTCAAACCCTAGTGAGACAAAGCACTTGGCATAAACATCGAAGACAAATATCACAGCCACCAAAGGCGAGGTTTGGGGCCAGGTTTCCCCAGGTTCAAAGCTCGGGCCTTCCACCACTCGGTATCATTGTGCACAGCGAGTGACGTCACTTCCAAGTCACAGCCTCTGCTTCAGGAAACAGGCTCAGGGCTACAGCCTGCTTCTGCACCAGTGACTGGGTGGTAAGTGCCTGGTGTGTTTGAGAAGTGTGGAAATAGCACTTTTTTTTCTTTTTTGACACAGAGTTTTGCTTTTATTGCCCAGGCTGGGGTGCGGTGGGGCATTCTCAGCTCACTGCAACTTCCACCTCCTGGGTTCAAACGATTCTCCTAACTCAGCCTCCTGGGTAGCTAGGATTACAGGTGCCTGCCACCATGGCTGGGTAATTTTTATATTTTTAGTAGAGACAAGGTTTCACCATGTTGCCCAGGCTGGTTGCTCAAACTCCTGACCTTAAGTGATCCACCCCCACCTCATCCTCCCAAAGTGCTGGGATTACACCAGCCGAAAATTTCACTTCTTGATAATGTCATTTTTATCCTGACACGGCCTTCATCAAGTCCCTTCTCTGGACCTGGCCCTGGCTGGGTCCCTCCCTTAGAAATGGTCAGGCCACAGGGGCAACAGGCAGTAAGCACAATGTCTACCTTCTGCAACAGGTGCAGCAATGACAGATGAACTGGGGTTGGGGCTGGTCCCCAGCCGCCTCACACCCTGGTGAATCTCACAATCCTCCCACCAGCTCTGCACATAGCTTTCCTCCACTGGACCGTTCTTCCTTGTACCCTCAATCTCCTAATGACCCTTTCAGGCTCATCGTGACACCCACCACCTCCACCCCTTCCTCCTCTGGGCTCCTGTGGCCTCTGTGCAATCTGAATCTTGAAGCATGTGCCTCCCTGTGCTGTAATCCTCTGCTCACAGGTCTGTTTCCATGGGGGGCTCTGAGCTCCTGGAGGGCGCGTCTGGGTGCTGTCGTCTTGGAGTCTCGAGCGCCCAGGAGGGCCCGGCAGGCAGGTCGCCCTCTGTGAGTACTCCTATGCCTGTCGAGCATTCATTCACTCACCAAGCAGCGAGTGAGCGCCACCTCTGGGCCGGGCGCTGTTCTAGGTGCTGAAGATGTGGCTGGAGGAGGATGGACAAGGTCCTGCTCACAGCCTCAAGGGGGAAGGACACAAAGTGAGTAATTATCATGGATTTGAAAAGGAAGGGAGGCATGTCAGAGGAACTGGAAGCCAAGTGTGCTGACTCACTCCTGTAACCCCAGCACTTTGGGGGGCCAAAGCAGGGGGATCACTTGAGTCTAGGAGTTTGAGACCAGGTAACACTGCGTAACATAGTGAGACTCCCTATCTCCTAAAAATTTTTTGAAATTAGCTGGGCATGGTGGCCTGCTTCTGTGGTCCCAGCTACTCTGGAGGCTGAGGCAGGAAGACAGCTTGAGCCAGGGAATCTGAGGCTGCAGTGAGCTATGAACGCACCACTGCATTCCAGCCTGGATGACAGAGCAAGACCCTGTCTCAACAAACAAACAAACAAATGCTCCCGAGCCTGCCAGGTCCACCATGAAGAGCCTCCCCACGTGCACCTCCTTCACCAGGTCTGTGCTGCGGCTCCGCTGGTACACGGTGACCTGCAGCACAGCGTGGGAGCGGGACGATGTCTGGTTGGCCGTGGGCTCCTGTGTGCGCTGCCGGTTGCTTTTCGTGAGGAGCTGCATGATTTGAGGACAGAGGCAGAGGCAAGCAGGAGGTCAGGGGCCACATGTGCCCTCCAGGGACATCTGGGCAAGAGAAGGAGCTGTGGGGCTCCCGAGGCTGGGATACTTACAGCAGGACCCTGTCAGGTGAAAGCAGCTTCTGGTGTGCAGCAAGAACTGATCGACTCCTTGAGCCAACTTGAAAGAAATGGCAGATTGCTGACACTCACACTGCCCCCTCTCCTTCTTCTTCCCATGGCAGACATCACCAATGGATTGCCCACCTCTTCTTCAGAGCCCAGAGCAGCCCCAGGACCCTTTTCAGTACAGAACTCTAGCCAGTTATACTGATTTGCTGGAGATGGCAGATGGGCTGAAACCCGTTTGCCATGCATGCAATTTTAAAAATCATGCACAATGAGCCTCTGCTTAGCACCTACTGTGTGCTCGCCTCAGGCCAGGATTATGGAGCATATATGGAGAGAAAAGTGGGGCATCACTGTTGTTAAAGAACAGAGCCAGCCAGGCCATGGCTCACACCTGTAATCCCAGCCCTTTGGGAAGCCAAGGCGGGCAGATCACGAGGTCAAGAAATCAAGACCATCCTGGTCAACGTGGTGATACCCAGTCTCTACTCAAAATACAGAAATTAGCTAACATGGTGGTGAGTGCCTGTAGTTCCAGCTACGCAGGGTGCTGAAGCAGGAGAATCTCTTGAAACTGGGAGGCGGAGATGGCAGTGAGTCAAGATTGTGCCACTATACTCCAGACTGGCGACAGAGTGAGACTCTGTCTCAAAAAAACAAAACAAAACAAAACGAAAGAACAGAGCCAGGTACATTGGATCACACCTGTAATCCCAGCACTTGGAGAGGACAAGGTAGATGGATCACTTGAGCCCAGGAGTCTGAGACCAGCCTGGGCAACATGGCATTATACTATCTTTACAAAAAAATTAAATTAAATCAAATATTACCCAGGTATGGTGGCAGGTGTCTGTAGTTTTAGCTACTCAGAAGGCTGAGGCAGGGCCAGGTGCAGTGGCTCATGCCTGTAATCTTCACTTTGGGAGGCTGAGGTGAGTGGATCACTTGAGGTCACGAGTTCATAACCAGCCTAGCCAACATGGTGAAACACCACCTCTACTAAAAATACAAAAAAAAAAATAGCCAGGCATGGTGGCAGGCACCTGAAATCCCAGCTACTTGGAAGGCTGAGGCAGGAGAATTCTTTGAACCCAGGAGGTGGAGGTGGAAGATCTTGCTTGCAGACCCAAGATCACATCACTGCACTCCAGCCTGGATGAGAGAGCAAGACACCGTCTCAAAAAAAGAAGAAAATAATAAAAAGAAGGTGGAGACAGGAAGATTACTTGAGCTCAGGAGTTCAAAGCTGTAGTGAACTATGATTGTGCCACTGCATGCCAGCCTGGGCAACAGAGCAAGATTCTGTCTCAAAAAAAGAAAAAACAGAAAACAAGAGTAAGCCAGAAGGCTGACCCACAACGCAAGAGCCTGAGGGATGATGGTGAGGGCCTGTGGATGCTGGCGCCAGCATGGCGGGAGCACATGGTCATTAGGTCTGAGGCTGGGTCTACGCTGATTCTGGAGGCCAGAGGGAACCGTTGAAGGTGTTGTGAGCAAACAGATGCCCAGCCAGATCTGTCAGGAAGCCCAGGCTGCCAGTAGTGTGGGGCGTGGCTAAGAGCAGAGAGGGAAGGAAAGCCAGACATCGGGAAGATGTTTCCAGTTTCCATGCCCTTGCTACATGAGCAATTCTTGGGATCAGGGGTGGCAAACGGGTTCCAATCGGAGCCGGCTCAGAGGGTTGTGACTGCCTGAAGTGCTGTGGGGTTTCTGGGTTTTTTTTTTTTTTTTTTTTTTTTGAGGCAGTCTCACTCTATCACCCAGGCTGGAGTGCAGTAGTACAATCTCGGCTCACTGCAACCTCTACCTCCCAGGTTCAAGTGATTCTCATGCGTTAACCTCCCGAGTAGCTGGGATTACCCACACCTGGCTAATTTTTTTTGTATTTTTAGTAGAGTCTCACTGTGTTGCCAGGCTGGAGTGCAATGGCTTAAACTTGTGAGCTCAGGCAGTCCATTCACCTGGACCTCCCAAAGTACTGGGATGACAGGTGTGAGCCACTGCGCCCAGCCCTGGAGTGCTGTGTTGAAAAGGACCCTGAGCCTGCGTCTGGAGACAGAGGGAAGAGTGTGTGCTCCGTCAGTGATGGCGCCCTGAGCACCAGGCAGGAGGCCAGAGGTAAGGATGCCAACCCCCCCCCGCCGATCGAGTCCATGCTTGGAAACAACATGGGAACTGCGAGTCTGTCCCTGTGCAGTGAACCTGAAGGAGGACCTTGTGAGCTCTGGCACGTGTGTGGCTACAGTGGCTCAGCCACGTCTCCTTCCATGAGCCCCTGTGACCCTCACCTCATGGGTGTTTGAGGTAGAGAACTCCATGATGCCTGCAATCTGGATGCTGCCCCTGGAATCTTCCCTGAGGTCCAGAAACCCCGAGGATGGGTTCAGGAGGTCCCGGATCACTTCATTATAAATCTGAGGAGGAACAGAAAGGCTGGGAGCAAAGTAGCTTTGGCACAAAATAATTACAAGAACTGGCCAGGTGCTGTGGCTCACACTGGTAATCCCAGAACTTCGGGAGGCCGAGGTGGACGGATCACGAGGTCAGGAGTTCGAGACCAACATGGCCAACATGGTATAACCCCATCTCTACTGAAATACAAAAATTAGCTGGGTGTGGTGACAGACACCTGTCATCCCAGCTACTGGGGAGGCTGAGGCAGGAGAATCTCTTGAACCTGGGAGGCAGAGTTTGCAGTGAGCCAAGATTGTGCCACTGCACTCCAGCCTAGGTGACACAGCAGCAAGGTTCCATCTCAAAAAAGAATTACAACTTAGCACTGGGCTTTGAACTTCCAGAGAAATCTCAGCCCTGGGGACTGGGGCTTTCCACGAGGTCACTTGGCCTCTGGGGTAACACGCAGTGCTGAGGATGTCACACACACAGGTGTGTTTCATCTGGTGCCATCATGCTCATTTTGCAGACAAGGCAACTGAGACAGGTGGCGGGCTCACCTCAAGGTAAGACATGGACACACTGTAGTCCGCGCTGTCCCGGGTCTCCTCAGTGGCCTGGAAGAGGTCAGTGAAGGTCTGCAGGTAGATGCCGGGCTCCGCATCCATACCCAGCATGGTGTGGGTCTTCCCTGCACCTGGAAGAGGAGCGGAGACACTCGCCAGGGTTGGGGGACTTGGAGGTGGGCTCCACCTGGAAATGCTGGCCATTAAAAGACAGAGAGCTGGGCGTGGTGGCTCACACCTGTAATCCCAGCACTTTGGTAGGCTGAGGTGGGTGTATCACCTGAGGTCAGGAGTTCAAGACTAGCCTGACCAACATGGTGAAACCCTATCTCTACTAAAAATACAAAAATCAGCTGGGTGTGGTGGCGCATGTCTGTGATCCCAGCTACTCGGAAGGCTGAGGCAGGAGAATCACTTGAATCCGGGAGGTGGCAGTTGCAGTGAGCTGAGATTGAGCCATTGCACTCCAGCCTAGGCAAGAAGAGTGAAACTCCATCTCAAAAAACAAAAGAGAGAGCTGGGTGTGGTGGCTCACACCTGTCATCTCAAACACTTTGAGAGGTTGAGGCGGGTGTATCGTTTGAGCTCAGGAGTTCAAAACTAGCTTGGGCAAACTGGTAAAGCCCTATCTCTGCAAAAAATGCGAAAATTAGCTGGGTATGGTGGAACACACCTGTAGTCCCAGCTACTCAGGAGGCTGAGGTGGGAGAATCACTTGAGCCCAGCAGGTCGAGGCTGCAGTGAGCTATGACCGCACAACTGTACTACAGCCTGAGCAACAGAGTGAAACCTTGTCTCAAAAGAAAAAAGAGGTTGGGTGCAGTGGCTCACACCTGTAATCCCAGCACTTCGGGAGGCCGAGCGGGTGGATCACTTGAGGTAAAGAGTTCAAGACCATCCTAGCCAACATGGTGAAACCCTGTCTCTACTAAAAATTCAAAAATTAGCCGGGCATGGTGGCACGTGCCTGTAATCTCAGCTACTCAGGAGGCTGAGGCAGGAGAATCGCTTGAACCCGGGAGGTGGAGGTTGCAGTGAGCTGAGATTGCACCACTGCACTCCAGCCTGGACGACAGAGCTAACTCCACCCCCGCCCCCTACCAAAAAAAAGAAAGAAGAAAAAAAGAAGAGTACCAGGCTGGGCATGGTAGCTCATGCCTCTAATCCTAGAATTTAGGGAGGCAGAGACAAAAGGGTCACTTGAGCCCAGGAGTTTGAGATAAGCCTGGGCAGCACAAGGAGACCTTGTTTCTACCAAAAATACAAAAGGTAGCTGGGCATGGTGGTACATGCCTGCAGTCCCAGCTACTTGGCAGGCTGAGGTGGGAGGATCACTTGGGCCTGGGAGGTTGAGACTGCAGTGAGCTGTGACTGAGTCACTACACTCCAGTCTGGGTGACAGAGTGAGACTCTGCTGTCATAGTCCCCAGTTGCTCCTGGGACGCTGCCCTGGACGGTACCTGAGGGGCCATAGGCAAACACTGTCACGTTGTATCCAGAGATGACGCCTTCCACCAAATGCTGGATGGTGGCACCATACACATCTTCCTGCAGAGAGACAGAGGACAGACAGTCACCCGGACAGTCACAGTCAGGGGGCCTGGCTGCTTGGAGAGGACAGGTGTGTGGTGTTGCACAAGTTCCAATCCCTCTTGAGGACCACATTTGGCCATACTCAGGAGAGGGAAGGCTAAAAAGAGCATGGGCATTGGATATTCCTGAGTTCTGTCCAGTCCTGGAGGCGTAACTTTGGGTGCACTGCCCTGGCTGTGCTGAGCCTCACGAGGTGAGGCAAGGCTGGCCTTGCAAGGTGGTTTTGAGGGACTAAATGAGAAGGTATGTGATGGCTCCCATTGTGGGACCTGCCACGAATTAGGCCGTAAACACATGTGAGTTTTCCCACAGCTTCTCTATGAATTGAGGGAAACCAAAAAGAATGCAGAGGCCGGGCACAGAGGCTCCCACCTGGAATCCCAGCGCTTTGGGAGGCCAAGGTGGGCGGATCACCCAAAGTCAGGAGTTCGAGACCAGCCCAGCCAATATGATGAAATCCCATCTCTACTAAAAATACAAAAATTAGAAGGGTATGGTGGTATGCATCTGTTGTCCCAGCTACTTGGGAGGCTGAGGCACAAAAATCACTTGAACCCAGGAGGCAGAGGTTGCAGTGTGCTGAGATCGCACCACTGCACTCCAGCCTCAGCAAAAGAGTGAGACTTCATCTCAAAAAAAAAAAAAGAAAAATGCCAGGCGCGGTGGCTCATGACTGTAATCCCAGCACTCTGGAGGCCAAGGTGGGCAGATCACCTGAGGCTGGGAGTTAGAGACCAACCTGACTAACATGGAGAAACCCCATCTCTACTAAAGGTGGTAGGAACACTTGGGTGTCGTGGCATATGCCTGTAATCCCAGCTACTCTGGAGGCTAAGGCAAGAGAATCCTGTGAACCCAGGAGGCCGAGGTTGTGGTGAGCCGAGATCGCATCATTGCACTCCAGCCTGGGCAACGAGAGTGAAACTCCATCTCAAAAAAAAAAAAAAAAAAAAAAAAAAGCAAGGCATGGTGGTACAGGCTTGTAGTCTCAGGTGCTTAGGAGACTGAGGCAGGAGGATTGCTTGAGGCTGACAGTTCAGACTGCAATGAGCTGTGATGGCACAACTGCACTCCATTCTGGGCCACAGAGCAAGATCCTATATCAGAAAAGGAGAAAGAACAGAAGAGGGCCGGGTGCAGTGGCTCATGCCTGTAATCCCAGCACTTTGGAAGCCTGAGGCGAGTGGATCACAAGGTCAGGAGTTTGAGACCAGCCTGGTCAATATGGTGAAACCCCATCTCTACTAAAAACACACAAAAAATTAACTGGGTGTAGTGGCACATGCTTATAATCCCAGCTACTCAGGAGGCTGAGGCAGGAGAATCACTTGAACCTGGGAGGCTGTGGTCGCAGTGAGCTAAGATTGCACCACTGCACTCTGGCCTGGGAAACAGAGTGAGACTCTGTCAGAAAGAAAGAAAAGAAAGAAAGAAAGGGAAAGAAAAGGAAAGAAGGAAGGAAGAAAAAAAGGAAGGAAGGTGGGCGGGACAGAGGGAAGGAAGGTGGGTGGGAAGGAAGGGGAAAAAAAGAGAAGAGAAGAGAGAAGAAAAGAGAAAAGAGTAGAAAGGAGAAAGAGAGTGGTGAATTCAGCAAAGAGCTGGAAGATGGCAACAGACTTGGGGGTCTGGAAAGAGCACCATGACTCCTCTTTCTGAGACAGAACTGGGACAAGGAAGTAAAAGTTGCAGGCTGGCAGAAGTTGACATAGGCAGCAGTACCCAGCAATAGGAGTATAGGTAGTGATCTCCCTGTCTACAGGGGCATTCAAGCAAAGATACCTCCAGGGCCGGTGCATGAGGGTATGTAGGTTTGGCTGGACTTGACAGAAGCAGCAGTCCCTTCCTCTGCATCTCTGGCACCCCCTCTGGGGCCTTTATCTCATTAAAAGTCCTGGAAGCCCTGGCTGGTCGCTGAGCTTGCAGAAGGACGAGGCCATTCCTGTGCCCGGGCTGCACGAGCTCCGAGGCCAGCACTGCTCACCTCTGGTATTTGGACATACGCGGCTGGGACCGAGTCCTGTGTCCGCAGCCCTCTAGCTATAGATTCGGCAGGGCGTGCCAGGCTCTGAACACAGCACTTGGTGTGTCGTAGCCACTCAGTAAGTGTGGTTTTGTGTGTGTGTTGAGACAGGGCCTTGTCTGTCACCAGGCTAGAGTGCAGCGGCGCAATCACAGCTAACTGAGGCCTTGAACTCCTGGGCTCAAGAGATACTCCCACCTCTGACCTCAGCTTCCCAAGTTGCTGGGACTTACAGGCATGTGCCACAATGCCCAGCTAATTAAAAATAAAATTATAAAATAAACTTTTTTTATACAGATAAGGTCTCTCTCTGTCACCCGGGCTGACATAGAGTCCAATGTGTGAGGACTACAGGCATGAACCACTGCATTTGGCCTTAATAAATATCAACGATCGAGCCCCTGCAACTTTCTGTGCGTTCAGATCTTGAGAGTGAGAGAAGTTATTTTCTGAGACAGCAGCTGGAGCTGCCATTGCCGAATGAATCGTGCTCTATCAACAATCCAGGGGTAAGCTCCTGGCGCCAACAGGTGACCCAGGTATTCTAAGCAGGCCCATTTCATGCACCCAGCATGCTTCCCAAGAGGCTCTCCATGTGAATTCAGCAGCCAGGGGCCAGTGGAAAGACAAGAGATGACTCGGGTGGTAGATTAAAGACAGCTATAGCTTCTTTGCCACTTCACTGGGAAGCTGAGTCTCATTCTCCTCCCCTTGAACCTGGCCAGGCTTAGGACTGGCTTGGCCAGCAAAGGGTGGCAGAGACAAGGCCATGCCTTCAAGATGCCTGACAGCTTCCACCTGGCCCTCTTGGAGCCCCCAGGCCACCATGCTTTGAAGAGGCTCAAGCCACACGGAAGAGCCACCTGTAGTTTCTCCCGTGGACAGTCCCAGTGGAACTCCAAGCCATCTGCACATCCACTGATAGCCATGTGAACAGACCACTGTGGACACATGGCCCAGATGACATCAACCCCCTGACATCAGATTGCAGCCAAGTGGGAATCTGCCCAGCAGGTCCCGGTCACCTCACAGAACTGTGAAAGACGATTATCAATGACAGTTCTAAGCCAATCGGCTTTGGAGTGATTTGTTCTGCCAACCATCTTTGATTACTAGGGGACAGCTGTGCACCCCTGGGGCCTATGGCTTCTCACATCTGGGATTACAGTGGCTCACACCTGTAATCCCAGCACCTTGGGAGGCTGAGGCAGGCAGATCACTTGAGGTCGGGAGTTCAAAACCAGCTTGGCCAACATGGTAAAACCCCAACTCCACTAAAAATACAAAAATTAGCCGGGCGTGGTGGCAGGCACCTGTAATCCCAGCTACTTGGGAGGCTGAGGCAAAATTGCTTGAACCAGGAGGTGGAGGTTGCAGTGAGCCGAGATGTACCATTGCACTCCAGCCTAGATGATGGAGTGAGACGCTGTTTCAAAAAAAAATAAATAAATAAGTGGGGTGCAGAGGGCACAGGAACCCTGATTTTACCCTTCACCACTGTAAGGGAAGTCACTTAGCTGTAGGGCCTGGAGGAAGCCTGAAATCCTCTGTCGGGTTTTGTCTTAGGGCCAAACATCCCCTGACCTCTCACCCTGGTGATGGGTCTGTCGCTTCTCCTTCAGGAGGCCAGTGTTCAAATCCCACCTACCCCACTCAGCAAGGGCTGCCATTCACTCCATCACCCCTCCCTGGGTCCTGGCTCCTCTCTGTGACCCCCCTCCCAGATGGGGGTCAGGTGACAAATTGACAGCATTTGTCCCTAGTAAAGGGTGGTGACCTGGGGGACTAGGAGGGATTGTGACCTGACTCTGGGTCCAAATGCTCAGCTCTGGGCCCCACCACGCAGTCTCTCGTATGGTGCTTCTTCTGTGAAATGGGCACAATTAAGCCTCTGCCCGGATCCCTGTCCCTCTGGCTCTCTCCCCCCAGGTCTAGCGTCCAGCCCCCCGCAGGCCCTCGCGGACACCATGAGTGCTCACAGCATGCTCGCTTCTCCTTTTGCTATGGTCTGCCCTCCATGCGGGGATGTGGGTGAGCGGGCAGGGCTGCACTGTAGCCCCACAGAACACAGGGCCGCTCTGTGGAATGAAGGGCTGAGTGCATGAATGCAAAGCCACAAGCTGGCGGTCACTGCACTGTGAAGGGTCTCCTGCTGCCACCCCCGGGGAGAGCTTTCAGTGAAGGGTCTCCCCCTGCCGTCCCCGGGGTGAGCTTTCAGTGAGGGGTCTCCCGTTGCCGCCCCCGGGGTGAGCTTTCAGTGAAGAGTCTCCCCCTGCCACCCCCTGGGTAAGCTTTCTGTGAAGGGTCTCCCCCTGCCGCCCCCAGGGGGGGTGAGCTTTCTGTGAAGGGTCTCTCGCTGCTGCCCCTGGGATAGGCTTCTGCACAGTCTCCTTGTCCCCAGGGAGACCCCTGTGAGAAGACAGGGCTGAGACTGCCTGGCCGCCATGTCCTCGCCAGGGTCTCTAGCCCCAGAGGGGGACGCAGGGACAGCAGGGGCAGGTGGTTAAACCTGAGTTGTGTGCTGGTCGAACACCCTGTCGAAGATGAAGGTCCCCTCCCGGGACTGGTGTGTGCGTGGCGCGTCCTCCGGGTCCTCGCCGTGGTCCATGAGCACCACCATCTGTGAGCAGTGAGCCGGCCAGGCTGGTCAGGATAGGTCAGGATGGGGACCCTGGAGAGACCCCAGGCCTGGCACCCACCCTGGATCCCTCCAAGGGGCTTGGTCCAGGTCCAGGTCCAGGTCCAGGAAGGGCTGCGGGCTTCTGTGCTTGAGTCAGGCACCCACATCACCGCCCAGCACCCTCTCCACTTGCTTCTGAGGAGCACCGTTTACCACTACTGCACCGACACTCACACTCACACCCCATAAATGCTGCCTTGGTCAAACCACATCGAGGACAGTGGCCCAGCACCCACCAGCCTCGCTCAGGGGCCAGGACTTCAGGCACCACTGCTCCCAATACTGGCAGGCGGCCCTGGGCCCCACCAAGCCAAACCCTTTGATGATCCCATGGGTCAGGGATGGGAAGGGATGGGAAGGGCCGAGCTGGTGCCTAGCCGCTGTGCTCAGGGTCTCTGCACATGATCCTGAGTGTTTGCACTCTTAGCCCTGCCTCTTGTGGCTCACCAGGGCTGAACTAGACACAGGAAACAGGAGAACAAAGGACTGAGCTGGGCGTGGTGGTTCACATCTGCAATCCCAGCATGCTGGGAGGCCAAGGCGTGTGGGTCACCTGAGGTCAGAGTTCGAGACCAGCTTGGCCACTATAAAATCCCGGCTCTACTAAAAATACAAAAAGTTAGCCAGATGTGGTGGTGCATGCCTGTAATCTCAGCTGCTTACGAGGCTGAGGCAGGAGAATCACTTGAACCCAGGAAGTGGAAGTTGCAGTGAGTCGACGCCATCTCAAAAAAAAAAAAAAAAAAAAAAAAAAAATTAAAATTAGCCAGGCATAGTGCTGCATGCCTATTGTCCCAGCTGCACGGGAGGCTGAGGCAGGAAGATCGCTTGAGTCCAGGACTTCAGGCTGCATGCAGTGAGCTGTGATCCCATAACTGCACTCCAGCCTAGGCCACAGAGTGAGACCTCGACTCAAAAATAAAGGACTCAGCCAAGTTCCCCAGTCCTGCTGTTTATTTTTCTGAGTACCTGGTCGCCCCCAGGGCCATCTCATATAAATACCTAACTATGACACAAAGTGTATTAGGGTCCCTGGGGATAGACAGGTTCAAAGGAGCCTTTCCCAGGGAATTGGGAGGGGGAAACAGGGCAATTAGAAACCAAATTCAACCTCAGCTGGTTAATCCACCAAGGAGCTCCCTGGCTGGGAGGAACTTGGGGACCCCAGTGGCCAAGAGGAGCCATGGGGTCTAGGGAGGTGCCACTGGGTTGTACCAAGCACCCCACCATCGACCAGCCCACCCCACCCCACCCCACCTGGGCTCACAGCTTTGGAAACCGAGGTCCCAGGAGACCAGGGCCAGCCAGCAGTTCTCAGGAGTCAGTTGCAGGGCTGAGTCCAGGTTCCTGGGGCTCTTTTGGCTTCTAGCCAGCACTTTTCCACAATGTAAGTGAACTCCCTTTTCTTTATGCTTTTGTCCTTCGAAAGATGGAGACGATGAAAAGACAGGATACCTCGGGGCAGCTCCTGTCCATATAGCCCCCAGCAAGTGCCGGCCATGGACCAGGCCTGAGCTGCAGAAGGAATCCGATGGGAAGCAGAAGCAGGAGGGCACTCGTGGTTAAGACAGCAGGCTTTGCCAGGCAAGGTGGCTCACATCTGTAACCCCAGCGCTTTGGGAGACTGAGGCAAGTGGATCATCTGAGGTCAGGAGTTTGAGACCAGCCAGGCCAACGTGGTGAAACCCTGTGTCTGCTAAAAGTAAAAAAATTGGCTGGGCACGGCGGCTTATGCCTGTAGTCCCAGAACTTTGGGAGGCCAAGGCAGGCAGATCACTTGAGGTCAGGAGTTCAAAACCAGCTTGACCCACATGGTGAAACCCCATTTGTACTAAAAATACAAAAAATTATCCAGGCATGGTGGCACATTCCTGTAGTCCCAGCTACTGGGGAGGCTGAGGCAGGGGAATCACTCAAACCAAGCAGGTAGAGGTTGCAGTGAGCCGAGATCACATTATTGCACTCCAGCCTGGGTGACAAAGCAAGACTCTGTCCCAAAAAAAGAAAAAGAAAAAAGTTAGCCAGGCATGGTAATTCTCAGCTGTAATCCCAGCTACTCAGAAGGCTGAGGCAGGAGAATCACTTGTACCCGGGAGGTGGAGGTTGCAGTGACTGAGATCACACCACTGCACTCCAACCTAGGCCACAGAATGAGTCTGTCTCAAAAAAGAAAAAAAGAAAGCAGGCTCCAGGCTGGGCACAGTGGCTCACGCCTGTAATCCCAGCACTTTGGAAGGCGAAGGCAGGAGGATCATTTGAGGTCAGGAGATCAAGACCATTCTGGCCAACATGGTGAAACTCCTTCTCTAGTAAAAATACAAAAATTAGCCAGGTGTGGTGGTGGCATCTGTAGTCTCAGCTACTCAAGAGGCTGAGGCAGGAGAATCCTTTGAATCTGGGAGATGGCGGTTGCAGTGAGCCAAGACCATGCCACTGCACTCCAGCCTGGGTGACAGTGCGAGACGCCATCTCAAAAAAAAAAAAAGAAAGAAATCACCCAGGGACAACATAGGGAGACTCAAGAGGAGACCAGTTGCCCCCCACGATGAGGCTTTTGTGGGGACCAGTGATACCACTTTGAGGGTCACCGTCAATTCCAGCAAAGAACTATTAATTGCCTTAAGAGTTTTTATTTTATTTCTTTATTCTTCAGCAACAGGGTCTGGAGTGTTGCCTGAAATGCAGTGGTGTGATCAGCTCATAGTAACCTCCAACTCCTGGGCCCGAGCCCACCTCTTGACTAACCTCCTGAGTAGCTAGGACCACAGGTGTGCACCACTACGCCTGGCGTTATTTGCCTGTTGTCAGTGTCAGCCACACCCCAGGACAGAGCCCCATCTGTGAGCTTGTGACATCGGGGAGCCCTCTGAGCCCCAGTCTCACCTCGTTCCCGACTTTGTGGGCAATGACCGCAGCTCCCTCCTCCAGTTATGCATCGAGTGGGCAGATTCGAAGTGCCACCTGTGGGAGGCCACTGGGGCAGCTGCATGGGGCCTCCTCACCCTCGGGCCCCCAGCCCTGCAGCCCTGCCCTCCCTGGCCCTGTGGCTCTGGTATCTGCTCAATGAATCAGTAAAGCAGCAGCTCAGCCCCATGCCCCTCAGGCAAGGCTCCAACTTCGCGCCCTCAGGGCTGCCTATACCCCCAGCAAGACGTGGCCTCCCTCACTGAGCAATGGGGAGGTTGGGGCACAGAGCAGGAAATGCCTGCCCAAGGCCTCCCAACCAGCGAACCTACACCTCCCAGTCCTGCTACCTCCAGAAGGGACGCTGAGCTCCTTCAGAGAAAACTTCCCCTAGGGGAAACTATGGGCCTCGCTATCCCCCCTCCCTGTTCTGAGGGCCAGACCCCAGCCTCAGACCCACCCCAGCTGTACAGGAGCTGTGGCCCCTGGTCGCTCCTTTCCACCACTGTAAAAGGGATACATGTTTTGGTAGAAACAACAGCTGAGGGGCGGTTACGCCTGGCATCTCTCCTTACCCAGCCATAGCACTGGGGCAAGTCCCCAGCTCAGCTCACCACTGTGCGGTGGACAGAGGCTCTGAGTCCCCCAACAGATAGCCTGGATCAGGCTGGGGAGGCCGGAGCCCGCATGCCCAGGTGCCAGCAGCATGGAGATTAGGGGCAGAGAGGGTATCTGGAGTCGGTGGGGAAGAACGGGGCAGCCAGGTCCCAGGGAGGGACAGTGGAGGAATAAATGGGGCCTCGTAACAGAAGGGTCACTATGGTGGCAGGTTGGGGAGGCAGCATTGGGCACTCACAGCGGGGGCAGCCAGGGGACAAGGGAGGGCACTCACAGTGGGGGCAGCCAGGGGACGAGGGAGGGCACTCACCATAACTGGCTGGTCCTTGGGCTCCATATCTATCAATGTCAGGCTGCCTGCGACCTGGTAGGAAGGGCCTGTGACCTGGTAGGAGGGTATGGGCAAGGGACACTGTGCAATCCCAGCAGAGGTGAGACCTGGCTGTGCTCAGCCCCACCCCACCCTGGTGACATCAGCTGGGCCTCAGGGGAGCTGGGCTGGCACCGCTCACGTGGTTGGGGCCCCAAGGAGCAGGATGGCCCTCCTGATCACATCTGCACACAGGGACAGCTACAGAGACAGCGGCGGCCTCTATCTCCACACTCACCATGGTAACCCCGGGTTTCCATGTGCCTCACCTGGTGCACATGAGCTGGCCTGACCCCCACCAGGATGCAGGTGGAGGGGCTGCCCTTCTTCTTTGCAGGGTGAGCACCTTGAGACCAGCAGAGACACTGCCCACTCCAGGGCCCCTCACACAGACACCAGGGTGGGCTTGGAACATTTCCCTTGAAGCAGACAAATGGCAGCAGCTGAAGCTTCACGCAGCAACTTCAACCGCAACTGTCGTTTCCAACAGTGATGATGTGTTTTTTTTTTTTGGTCTGTCATCCAGGCTGGAGTGCAAACTTCACCTCCTGGGTTCAAGCAAGTATCCTGCCTCAGCCTCCCGAGTAGCTCGGATTACAGGCATGCGCCACCACAACTGGCTAATTGTTGTATTTTTAGCAGAGACAGGGTTTCATGTTGGCAGGCTGGTCTTCAACTCATCTCAGGTGATCCGCCCACCTTGGCCTCGCAAAGTACTGGAATGACAAGCATGAGCCACTGCACCTGGCCTACAACCACATCGCTGATGCACTAGCCATGGTCTATGTGCCTTTCCCAGTCAGTGCTTGGATTGGCTATCACATGTATTAAATGCCTAAAGGTTGTGCTCAACGTTTCCACTGGAAGTCCGGGGGAGGTCACCGCACTGAACCTGCACCGCCAAGGCCGACTGTCCCCGCCAGGCTGTGTTAACCAGAGTGCAGGACGACAGTGCCCAGAGCCAGGGTCAGTGCCAATCACAGAAAACCACTCCCGCAGTGAGAGATCACACCAAGATTGGGCCAGGCATGGCACAACCCCCCCCCATAAAAAAGGAAAAAAAGAAACCCCGCTAAGATCAGATCCATGCCATTCGAACCTCTCAGTCCAACTTCATGATTCCAACTACAAAGCTGAAAGGGCCCCGGGTCCATTCCTGGCAGGCGGGGCAACTCAAGCTCTCCCAAAAGCCACTGCCCTGTGCCTTTCCTGTATGCCCACTGGGGGGCAGGGGCAGCTCAGTTCAGAGGCCAGGGCATATGTTTGGCCACATCCATCTCTTCCTTGGTGTCCAGGTCCACGCTGTGCTGCAGGAAGCCCCTGCCAGGTGGATTCGGCAAGGAAGGGGCTGCCCCTCCAACATCCGCATCCCACTCCTCTAGGCTCCAGTGTCTGACCAAGGCACTTGCCAGGAACACGTCCATGGGTCGCAACATTCCTGGCTGCCTCGGCCTCCTGAGACACAACCAAGGCAGTGCTTGCAGCAGAGGTCCCAAGCCCACCCTGATGTCCTCAGCCCGAAGCTCTGGGGACCCCGATACCTGGGAAGTCCCTAAACCGCAGGCCAGCTCTGGGAAATCCACATTGACCATAGCAAAGTGAAACCCAGCACAAAGTCTTCAGAAATTCTTTATTTACGAATTACATGAAACAATCACAACTAGTGCATTTAAAACAGTGAAAACTTATTAGAAGATCTGTTAAAAATTTGTCATATGGTAGAACTGTGTGCCTTTCTTTCCATGAAATCAGAAAAACTGTTTCTTGGCACACTAGAGTTTAAACGCATGGGTTTAAAGAGCATGAACGTAAACAGGAATTACTAATAAAATGTGCACTGAAGGGGCACAGGATAAACGGCGGGATCGCAACAACTCCAGAATTTTAAAAACGCAGATAAGAGAAACGTAACGCTCATAAAAAATAAAATGCACCAAGGCACTCTCCTCACACCCAGGAAACCCAGCGGGACCCGAGGCTCCGGGCTGCTCCTCCAGGGTGGCAGGCGCCTGGGTACTCCGCCCTGTGAACTACAGCCCCATCGCCTTAGCTTTGTAATGGTCCCTTGGCTGTGAGTTCTGAATGCTGCCTCAGGTTCCACAAGTTGAAAAGCGGTGGATGAAAATGCTGGGTCACGGGTGCCAATGGGAAGTGAGACCCTGCAAACAGAAGGGGTTGAAACTCCCCCCTTCTGTGTGCTCCTTCCCAACAGGAAACCCGCTCAGTACAAGAGGACCGTGTATAAGTGGGCAGAACTGACCATTCTCAACACACGTTTCCCAACGTGTCTAACGCCAAGGAAAGGCCACAGGGTTCTCACCAGGGAAAATGACCAGCACCTTTCACAGAAAACAGCGGAGCGGAACGGAAGAGACTGTGGCGTGACTGACCAGAAAACTGCTGGACGCAGGGCGGCCGAGTGTGCCCGACGACCAGATGGGACGGCTGGCTTGGCAAGCAGGCACCCGCCACTGAGGGAGGCAGGCAACAGGTTCAAGGTCGCTATCTACATTCAGAGAGGAGAAAGACGGCTTTTTCATACAAGTTTGCTTTTATTTCCACGTTCAACCTGTGGAGAAAACTGGCCACAACCTGCACGGTGGGGGTATGAGGCGTGGCAGTGCCCTCCCGGCGGATCTCCGGGACATGTCCAGCACTGCGCGCGATGGGGACGCAAGTCCTTCAACGGAAATGCCGCTCAGCTGTGGGTGGGCACCGTGGAAACACCACTGGCTGCGGAAGAAGGTGCTGCCGGTGACGCTGCTAGAGCCAACGCAGGTGGTTCCGACAGAAAACCCCAAACAAGAAAGAAGTGGAAGTGGTGCCTTAAAACCCCCCACTGCAGACACCAGGGGCTGAAAGGCACAAAAACGTGTCGCAATGGCAGAATCCCAGGCGTGGTCACAGTCCAGAGCACAGGGAGGTGGTGGGAGTCGAGCAGGCTTCCTGCAGGGTTCCGCTCCACACCACATGCGCTGTAATGCAAGAGGAACCTCGCTCATGCTCTGTCCTGCAGCTCAGCGTGGGAGCGCCAGGCGGGGTCAGCTCAGTGGCTCCATCCCCTGGACCGGCAGGCATGGCGGCTCTAATAGCACCAACTGAAAAGGCTGAGGGGCTGCTGAATATCGCCTTGGGGCTGACGTTGAGTCCGGCAACAGGAGTCGCCTTGGCCACAGAGAGCTGAGCCTGTGTGCCACCACCACTCACTCATGGTCCCGCCCTGGGGACAGCCACCAGGCCATCCTCAGGTACCGCCAAGTCCCAGGGACTTAAGCCTTCTGTCCCACACATGCCTGCGCTGTGAGGCATGGAGGCCCCGAGGACTCAGGAGCTCCCCAACCCCTGACGTGGAAGGCTTGTCTCGGAACAGGCTGGTGGCTGCCGGAACCAGAGTTGCAGCTGCACACACCAGCTTTTTTTTCTGGTGGAAACACCACGGCCGCTATTAGCAAAGGTGTTGGAAAATGGCCAGGCACAGCCACCCTCCTCTTCCTAGCACCTGGCTACGGTGCCTCCCTCACCCAGCACTGCCCGAAAGGCACCATCTGCGATGCAGTCAGAGGGCACAGCCAAGGCCAGGTCGGCACCAACTCCACATTTCACACAAGGCTCAGCTAACCCTGAGCACGTAACACCGGGGCTTCACCCCTGCCTTAAAGGAGGTGCTTTCTCAGTGAGAACAGAAGCAGTGTGAGAGGAGCCAACCGGACCCCCATCACACCTTCCCACAGACGCTCACCACAGAGCTCCCCGGTCACTCCTGATTCCCGAGGGGGATGATTTCTTCAGTGACAAAGAATTCTATGGTCTCCTCTTCCCAGTCGTCCACGTTGCTGTCCAGCTCGTCAGTGTCCACACCTGAGGGGACAAAGGGCAAGGGTCACCCATAGGGGCAGATGCAGAGAGGCACCGCCGAGGCCAGTGGGAAGAACATAGGAATTCGTGTCCACTGGGGCCCATGGCGGCGGAAGGGCCAGCTGGTGACTGAGGGATCTCAAAGTTACCTCCTCGCAGCTCCAGGCGCTCGTTTTTCTGCTCCATATAGAGCTCCTGGGCCATCTTTCGGTACTTCCGGAAGTCTTCCATCATGGTGCGCCTTCTCTCCACCAATTCCTACGCACGGGGCGGGGGGGAAGCCACAGAACTGCTGACACCTGCCTCGCCGTTGCGAAGAGCACACACCCGGGGACAGAGCCAGGAAAATGGCATTTGGAGGTGCTCAGGCAGGAATGGCAGTCCGTGCGTTCTCATTTCCCCCCAACGCCGCCCCCGCCCACGGAATAGCAGTGAGGCCGCCAACTCCAAGCCCCCGTGCCAGCCCCAGTCCCCTACTGCATCCCTCCTAGGAGGATAACAGAACCAGTGTCTCCGGGGCAGAAGCAACTCTGAGCAGACACACAGCAGCCCCCTCGAAGCCCTGACGTGAGCCCGCCTTTGCTGTGATGGTGGATGTCGCAGCACATGGCTCTCACTTCAGGGAATGAGGCTCACCTTTGAGGCTTTGGACTGGCTCAAGCGATCCTTCTGTTCAAAGATCTTAGAGTATTTCTTCAGATCCTTTTTAATTTGCTGAAACAAGACTACTGTCACTCAGGGTTTAACATTCAAAGAAAGAAGCACAAACGCAATCTTCAAAGTTGCCGCCATGAAGTGACATCCAGAGTCATTAACAGAACACAGTGCCCCAGGAATGCTCGCGCCTGCTCTCTCTCCCATGTTTCATGTTGAGCCTGACTTCCTTCCTGGGATGTAACCCTCCTCTTCGTTCTGACCTAATACCATCGGCCTATTTTACCATCATTATGTAAATCCCAGACAAATCGCTTTCTAATCCCACCAGGACTTTTTAATAGCCCCTGGCATCTTTTCATCCACCCCTCAGGTTCATGTAAAACTTCCCTCAACAAGCTGAAGACCTCAGTTAACTATCCTAAAGCTGTTCTATTCCATTCATTTTTCACTGTTCCCTCGTCTCTTCAAAGGGCCTATCCCCCAGTCACCAGCCTAACCATTTTTCCTTTCAATGCCGTAATCACCTCCACATGCCCTGCACCTGAGGGTGGGGGACGCTGACCTTGATCTGCTCCTGGCTCAGGAGTGTTGGAGGCCGGGGCCGCCACAGCAGCTGGCAGAAGCGGTCCTTGTTGTTCTTCTGCAGGAGGCGTCCCTGGAAAGTCCACAGCCAGTACGCATTGTCCACCTAGGCCAGGGCAGGGACACACCAGGACATAAAGGGGTCAGCAGAGCCACAACAGTGACTATGTCACTTGCTGAACAAGGTCCTGGATATCGGGCACACGTGTGAACCAAACAAAGCTCTACCTCTGCTGAGCTGACATGCAGCAGGGGAGGTGGTCAGTAAATGAAAGACACAAAATATGTAATCAACCCAGAGTGCAGGGCACACAGCAGCTGGAGCAGTGCTCGTCACAGCACAGGCCTAGGCGCTCCTGCTGGCAACAAGAACCCCGCGCCTGATGTAAGCCAACTGCATCACCACATGCTGTTCGGTTCCACTGTCTTCGTAGCAGGACTCTCTCATGAAGGACGGCGCCTTCACTGGCACCCAGGATAAACTCCCTATGACAGGCTGGCATTGTGGGAGCTAAGTGTTTATACCTCAAGCAGAGTGGTCAATAGCTTAGAAGGTCTTTTCTTTTAATGGGGTTAGGATTTCACTATGTTGCTCAGGCTAGTCTCAATCTCCTGGGCTAAAGTGATTCTTCTGCCTCTGCCTCCTAAAGTGGTGGGATTCCAGGTGTGAGCCACTGTGCCTGCCCTAAAATGGTGTCAAGGTAGGCCCCATGACAGTAACATATGAACATACCTGAACCCAGGCCGTGATCAACACACCCTGATTTAAATGTGAAGGTTTCTAAGTCTAGACACTTGTAGTAATATTTGGTTAAGTTGGTACTCCTAAAAGTTCAGTATCTCATTCAATAAAATTACCCTAATTTGATCTCATAGATTCTATTTGCATGGACGGTTCAAGCGTCAATACCTCCATCAACTTTCTAAAAGTCACTAAATACAAGAAGTCCTCGGCAAACTTAATCAGCAGTTTTCAAATAAGAACTTGTGGGTAAGGCGGCGGCTGGACTTGACCACAGACTCCTAAGAGAAGACCTTCATGTCTGAGGTTATGGAACTGTTCCCACTTTAAAGGAAATGACTCCTCTCTGCAGAAAAACACTCATGCATGACACACTCACTCTTCCTTTCAGGGGTCCCTGGGCCCCAGGGTAAGATCCCCTACCATGAGCAGGGGCTGCTCCCGCCACCTCTTCTATAACCCAGAATCCTCCTCCTCCTGCCACGAACACCAGCTGAGGCTTCTGTTAAACACCAAGGCTTGGTGCCCCTCCCTGAGGTCCCAGGACAGCACCAGAGTCAGTGGCCAGCCAGCACTCCCTGCTTCTATCCACAGCCAAAGCTATGCCCTCGGGCCTGCACCTTATGGCTCCACCAGGACACAGAGGTGACGACATAGCGCCCGGTAGGATCCCACTCAACATCAGAGGCCATGTAGTGCTCTGCGATGTTCATGACCGTGCAGTCCGAAGTGTCCACAAACGCTAAGGCACCATTCATACTGCAGAGACAAACAGGACCGTCAGGTTCACGGAGACGCATACTTCCCGACATCCCACTCCTGAGAGGCACAGCATGGGGTCCCCAGGGAGCCAGCCTTGGCGTTAACATGGAAACAAGCATAGCAACAGCCTCTGGTGGCCACTGTGAGACTTACAAATCACAGCTTGCAGAGTGTGCAGTGACTATTACACGTGTCTGCCATCACTACTATTTTCACAGGAAATGTTATCTGAGGCTAAGTAAGCCTCCAAAATTAAAGCAGCAAGTGTCAACAATGAAGCAAGGGAGAGCAGCGACAAAAGGATATTTTTTAAACTCAGGGCAGAAAGCTGGAAGCTTCTCCACAATTTTGACACACTGCTGGAACGCAGCTGAGACCCATACCACCTTTCAATGCCATAATCACCTCCACATGCCCTGCACCTGAGGGTGGGGGACGCTGACCTTGATCTGCTCCTGGTTCAGGAGTGTTGGAGGCTGGGGCACCAACCACAGAGGTAAGGCAGCCTCACAGCTGTGTAACTAATACCCTACCGCTAGAAGAGAGGACCTCCTGGGGTGGGGGCAGAGGGGTAACTGGATTGCTGGAAGGCACTTGTTTAAGCACGAAAGAACCACAACCCACAGACTGGTCAGCCTGTCACTTCACGAAAGCATCTGCGAGTGCTTATTTCCATCTGCCCTGGCTTGGCCTCAGTCTTGGAGTATCATGGATCCGCAAAGGTTCAATAACATCCCATCCACTGACACCAGGGTAAATCCTTTCTGTGCGCAACACGCCCTCTACCAAGAAGTGGGAGGAGGAGCCAGAGCGCAGGGTGCAGGCGCCTGAGGAGTCTCCGCCGCAGCAGGCAGAACACTACTCACGAGGCGAACAGGCTCAGCGCGCGGACACCCACCTCCTCAGGCCCGCCAATACCACAAACTGTCCTTGGGGGCTCCAGAAGATGGTGTTTGCTTGCTGCTTGTCGAACATCTCTGAAAGGAAACAGAGTGCCCGTCACCAACTGTGAGGGCTTCCACCCCAGGATGAAGTAAGGAACCAAGGGCAGTCAAGGCCGGGGGGCTTGGCCGTGGGTCACGCTACCCACATGGGCACAGCTGGGAATGCCCGACCACCTCGGAAAACAATTTTACAAAATCCATTGCTAAGTACCCCTTAAGTCATAATCCATACTTTAAATGCGGGAAAAATAAAGAAGGGGTAGGGGCATTTCAAAGCAACACTATTTTCCTATTTCCTGAGGTAAACGGACAAACAATTCCCTTTACAGCAAACGTTCATTGCTGCAGAGACCACAACAGGGACAGGATGTCAGAGACATGTGACCCTGGAAGGCCAAAGCCACTTTCCTAGCGACAAGACATCTTTGGAGAAGCTGTATGCTTGTTCAAACTGTCTACAGTCATCATCTTTCCAGGTACTAAGTCTTACTTCCGGAAAGGACCTCGGGCAGAGTGGCTGCAGCAGTGAGAAGTGAAAGCCAGCCGGGCTGGGCTCCGGTCCCCCTCAGAGCTTGGTCAGACAGAGCTGAGGACCTGAGGCCTCTATCCTTAGCCTGTGGTACATCCAAAAAAGAAGCTGGGGCAAGAAATGGAGGGGAGGAGATGTGGGAAGGCAGATGCACCCCACCAGGGGCAGGGGTCTCAGACCTGCACCAACAAAAAACCCCAGCAGCCACGGGCACAGGATAGAACCCACACGGTGGCCACAGAGTCTATGCCAAACCTCAGGAGAAGCGCGTCATACGTGTTTGGAAGGTACAGGGTACTTCTGCTTGCCGTCTGTTTTATGACCTAGAAGACTGATATAAGTCTCTGGTCAGTCTGCAACTGCCCGTATGTTTCCACCAATGGGAATTAATGATACAACCAATCTTGTGGTCTACTGCCCACTGAGAGCACCACGCACCTGCCAAGCTCCAGCAAAGTGAAAACGAAACTAAACTCCTCACAGAACCATGTTGCAAAAGGCGAGGACAGGAGATTCCAACCCTTTACAGGTACAGGGCCAAACCCATGGCTCTGCAGGTGGGCATAAGGCAGCCAGTCCTTTGTGGGAGGAACACAACCCCTTGCTACCTCCCGGCTGCCACACACATACACACCACACCTGTGAAGCAACAGGCAATGGTTCGTTCCATCCCCACTGGCACCAGGCTCTGTGCTGAGCAGAGACCCCCGGATGAAGTGAGGAGCCAAGGGCAAAGACAGCAGATGCCATGAGACGGGCGAGGGCCACTGCACCACTGTGAGCAGCAAGCCCCAGGTGGGTGAGTGTAGTAGCCCTGGAACCAGGTGCACAGGGGAAGGAACAGCCGCATGGAACAGCTCTGCACACCCCACAAAGTCAGAGACACCCGACCCAGACTGGGGACTGGTGGGAGCATGTCCACAGGAAGTCACCCCAAGCCCAGAGACAGCACCTACAGGCGTAAGAGAAACAGCTTCACTTGAGACGATGACAGAGAACAGAAGCCTTGAAAATACTTGCTTAAATATGAGGGCCCAATGGGGCTCAGAGAGGCGCCCTGCCCCGCAAGGAGGCAGCACCACTGGGCCATCGCTCACTTCCATCAGCCGAGCCCACCGCGCCCCCATTCCCAGGTGAGTCCTGCCTAGCAGCGGTCCTAAGCCAGTCAAACGCTCACTGCTGGGCAACTAGGTCCTTATCCGTGCTGACCTGTTCAGAAAAGGAAAGGGACCAGGCTACTTACTGATGAGTTCAATCTTCCCGTTGTTTTTGACATGGTAGAAAGATACAGATATCCGCGGAGCCTCTCCATGCAACACAGCAAATTTACTTCCATTAGGTTCCCAGGCAAAGGCTATGATGGTTTCTAAAATTGACAAGAGACCACTCCCTTGTTGGTCAATTCAGAACAGAATACTCTTAATCAGTTAAAATGTTCATTATTCAACCAGAGAGAAATAGCCCCCAACATTTAAAAGTTCATCGAAAGGACCACAGAGCAAGCATCAGCAGGAAAAGGTGCACATTCCTGGAGTTTCAGAGGCAGCTGCCTCCACTCATGTGAATGACCTATGTGAAACTGTTCCCTCCCTAAGAGCAGGATACCCACGGTATCCTGGGTATCCAGGACAAGGAGCCTGACATCGCAGGCAGCTGTGAATGCCACTTCCTTTGCACCTAGTGTGGCCTCTACAGTGGAATCCTGGCTTCCTGTCTCCCCGCCAGGTTTGACGTTTGCTCACCTCTCTATTTTTCTTCCTCCCTCCTTGTTTCTAGAGCAAAACAAAAAGCCAACCAAAAACACAGGCTGCATCTCTTCTCTCGCTTTTGTAGACAGGGTCTTGCTGTCACCCAGGCTGTAGTGCAGAGGTGCAGTCTCAGCTCATAGCAACCTCCGCTCCTGGGCTCAATTCATCCTCCCACTTCAGCCTCTCCAACAGCTGGGACTATAGGTGTACACCACCACACCTGGCTACTATCTGTATTTTTTGTACAGAGAGGGTCTCACTATGTTGCCGAGGCTATAAACACATTCTGTGACCTGGAGATGGCTATTAATGGTGAGAGTTCACAGTCCTGACTCCGTTGCTCAGACAACCCACTAGCAGGAAAGTGTTAAAAGCCAAGTGTAAAACAGCACTTAGGGCCCATCCAACTAAAAATGACTAAAATAAAACTTGCCTTTCATTTCGACCACATCCACAGGTACCTGTTTTTCCCTCATTCGGAAAATTTCAAAATTTGTGACAACACCCTGTTTAAAAAAAAAGGAGGGAAAGGGTGACATTCTGGACATTGACAACATGAGAAAAAGGTTTCAATCAAAGGACAACTTCATAATGAAAGATTTGATTTGCATGCCTGGTTCGCACACACGAGCATCTGCTGTGATGGCAGCCGCAGCCCTCAGGAGAGAACACAGTTCTAAGGCTGGAGGGGAACTGCCCGCACCCCATCTAGAGGCAGCTACCGGACATGCGTGAAATAATCCGACCAGATCCCACCTTCAGGAGCCTCCCTGCCCTCCACACTCTGGCACAAGCAGTCCCAGGGTCCTCACTACAGTCTGCGGGCCAGGTCCACAGGGCCCAAAAGGCCCACCCATGGGGCTGGTGAAACTATTTCAGACAGTGGGGTGTTCTGCAGCCATGACCTTCCAGAAGTCCTGCCCCACTCCAGGAGGCTAAGGGGAAACCGCCCCAATGTCCACCAAAAGAGGAAGGAGGCAAAGAAACGTGGTCCACCCAACAGCAGATTCCTGTTCAGACTCAACACTGAGGACACGCCGTGGGAAAACTGCTCCATGAAGGAGTTAAGACATAGAGGCTGCAAACTATCTGATTCCAGCTGCGAGTCTGGAATAGGGAAGTCAAGAGACATTACTGACGCCAGGAGCTGGGCAGAGACTGCTAATTGGTATGGTGTTTCTTTCTAGGGTGATAGAAACATTTATTTTTTATCTTTTAAAAATTATCTGTAGAGATGGGATCTCACTGTATTGCCCAGGCCGGTCTGAAATTTCTAGCGTCAAGTTATCCTCCCTCCCACTTAGGGTGAGCCACCACACCTAGCCAATGAAAACACTGTGAAATGAGTGATGTGGCTGCACAACCCTGTGAACACACTAAAAGCCGCTGAACTGCCCCACCACTTTAAAGAGTGGAATACTTCCATTACAGGAAAAACTCAGACAATGTTTTGTAAGGTAAACATTAATTATCAACTACACACACACAAAATCTGAGTATGCTACTCTTTGAGCTTAGAAAGAAAATAATATTCTCGACCAGGCACAGTGGCTGACGCCTGTAATCCCAGCACTTTGGGTGCCCGGGGTGGATGGATCATCTGAGGCCAGGAGTTCAAGACCAGCCTGACCAATATGGTGAAACTCATCTCTACTAAAAATACATAAATTAGCTGGGTGTGGGGGCAGGCACCTGTAGTCCCAGCTACTGGGGAGCCTGAGGCAGGAGAATCACTTGAACCTGAGAGGCAGAGGTTGCAGTGAGCCAAGATTGTACCACTGCACTCCACCCTGGGTGACCAAAAAACCCACAAAATGATATTCTCATTTTAGCATTCAATACAGAGAAAAGGTGGGTGTCTGGGGACATTTTACTGTATTCCTCTGTGAACTCTACACCATGTGAATGTAATATCTATTCAAAACTTATTTTGGAGACAGTGTCTTGCTCTGTGGCCCAGGCTAGAGTAGAGTGGTGCAGTCATGGCCCACTATACCCTTGACCTCCTGGGCTCAAGCAATCCTCCTGCCTCAGCCTGCAAAAGTGTTCGGATTCTAGGCATGAGGCACCACACCCAGCCTATTTGATAAACTTTTCTTAAAAAAAAAAAAAATACTCTACAAATAGAATATGCCAAGATCTCTAAGACTTGCCGGGTATATCAGGAAGGTGTCAAAATAACCCACAAATCTGAATTTTAAAGTCCATTAACAGCCTCCAAACAATACAGTGATCACTGAGGAGCAAAGGATAAGGAACCTCCAGTTCCCGCGGGCACCCACGTACCTGGGTGCCTTTTGGAGTCCTGTCTACTTTCACACACAAGTAGTCTCCATTCTTCTGCCAATGCAGCTTGCAATCCACCACGTTGAACAGGTTCCTCACTCGGATCTCTTGCCTGGTAGGCAGCTGCATCAGGGTTACCCTGGCTGGAATATCTTTGTCTTCAGGCACCCAGAAGGCTATTATGTTACCACCAGGAGACCAAGAAAAGTCTCTGCAGATCAGGAAAATAAAATGTTACAGCAAAGACCAAGTGATGATGAAACTGAAAAGCAGAAGACAATAAAACAACTCATTTGCTATACAGAAGCTCAATGCTGTCACAGCTGACGCTGAGCGCTCACTCCACACAGGCACACACTGCTCTGGGTATGGCACACAGCTTCTCAGGTCTTCACCAGGACCCTGGGGCATTACTGCGCTCACTGTAACAGGGAGTGAATGCAGACAAAATATGAGCAACCCCACTGTCCCCCACAGACTCATATCGACTCCAGCCGGGGCTCCGTCAGCCCACTCTTAGACAAAGTAGTTTTGGGCAGGCAGATCTGGCTATATGACATCTAAAGATTAATTAAGGTGTCAAAGGGGAAAACGGCAAATCGAGTGTAAGCAATGAGCAAGAACGAGGGCAACTTCCTCTAATGGATCAGGTGCTCAGCAGAAGAGCTGCTGGAAGGAACGGTTCCTGAGCTCACCTACGCGAAAACCAGCTTTATACACACGGTGTGCTGTGTTTTGCACTTACTGAGAACCAATGTCCTGGTCTTTTTATTTTATGTGCCGTAATTTTGCCCCAAAATCTAAAAGTAAAAGGAGTAAGAAACGACAATGTCCTTGGATTGCTGGTAGAAGTTCACTGCCGTGATACTGACCAGTTCCAAGAGTTTTCTGATAAATAAAAATGTGCCAATTCTTTGATAATGAAAATGAGCTGAAGGCCCCCCAAACTCTGCCTCAGACAGAAGAGTAATAGGAAAACCTTTCGCTTAAGCAAAGTCCCCTCTCTTCCTTAAAACGCTGAAACCACCCTCCCAGTTTCTAGGTCAAAGATGAGGTAGATGGAAGGAAGCCAACTCAAGATTCTGGCCTTGAAGATTCATTTCTGGGCACACACAGAGTTACTGAAGTGGTGTCTTGAGGGTGGCGGGCCCAGCGCGGAGCAGCCTTGCTGCCCATCGGCTCGAGCCTTCATCCTGGCATTCAGAACAAACTCACCTTAGGCTGGGCACAGTGGATCACACCTGTAATCCCTGCACTTTGTGGGGAGTCAGGCCAGCAGATCACTTGACGTCAGGAGTTCAAGACTAGCCTGGCCAACATGGTGAAACCCCTCTTCTAAAATATACAAAATATTAGCTGAGCATGGTGGTGCCTCCCTGTAATTCCAGCTACTCAGGAGGCTGAGGCACCAGAATCCTTTGAACCCGGGAGGCGAAGGTTGCAGTGAGTCGAGATCATGTCACTGTATTCCAGCCTGGGCAACAGAGCAAGACCCTGTCTCAAAAAAGATTAAAAAAATGGCTGGGTGTGGCTCATGACTATAATCCTAGCACTTTGGGAAGCCAAGGCAGGTGTGTCACAAGGTCAGGAGTTTGAGACCACCCTGGCCAATATGGTAAAACCCCACCTCTACTAAAAACACAAAAATTATCTGGGCATGGTGGTGTGCACCTGTAGTCCCAGCTACTTGGGAGGCTGTGGCAGGACAATTGCTTGAACCCGGGAGGCAGAGGCTGTGGTGAGCTGAGACTGAACCACTGTATCTCAGCCTGGGTGACAGAGCAAGGCTCCATCTCAAAAAAAAAAAAAAAAAAAAAAAAGTACTAAATGAGAGAGCAAATAAAGGAAACCAACTGCAATGGAAAACATCTATATCCCCCAAATTCAAAGGCTGAAATTCTAACCCCTGGGGTGATGGCATTAGCGGGGGACTTTGGGGGCTGAGCAGGTCATGAGGATGAAGCCCTCAGGAATGAGATGAGGACCTTTACAGAAGTGGACCCAGAAGCCTTCCACCAGGTGAGGCTGGACTGAGGGTTGCCCATGAGGAAGTGGGCCCTCACCAGTCAACAGGCGCGGTGACCTCGGGCTCCCAAACTCCAGAACTGGGAGAAAGACATCTCTGCTGTAATAAGCAACCAGCCTTTGGCATTATGTTAAGCAGCCTGAACACACTAAGATACCAAATTGATAAGAACACTCACTTTATCCCAGAGATCTTCAAACTCTTCTTGTCTAGAAGACCCATAGACTGGCCAAAAAAAGGGGAAGGTTACAGTTGAGTCAAATCATGTCAGTGTCTCAGTAACACACGTAACTTTTCACAAAAGGAAACGAGTCTGATGTGAGTTTGCCTAGGGAGCAGTGCGCCGAGAGGGTGACGGTGAACCCACCCACCCATCCACCGCCACGAGCCGCAGTTCCAAAGCCCACTGTAGTAACTCCCACCCAGGACTTCCCACAGCTGCGCAAGGTGGGCAGGTGGGACTAAGGAGCTTCGCCCAGAGCAGGAGCACTTAAAACGGCGCAGGAGACAGGCCTTTACTGCGATCTGTGAAACCTCCTCCTCCTCTTCTAGCACAAGTAAGTAAAGGCACCACACCCCGATTACAAGCAAGGACAGGATGTGTGTTTCCCATCACTGAAGCCACTTACAGGAGTTTCATAGATGCTAAGTGTATCCAGGGTCATTCTGGCAAAGAATTTACCATCATGGCTCCACCTAAGAAGAAAACAGAAGTGCCAGCGTATTCCAATTACAAGACAAAAGGCTACAGAGGTTGTTAACAATGATCCACGTACTTAAAAATAGGCCAATGGGCTGAGCTCTCACAGTGAAAACCTCTCTTCTTGTGCCCCGTAAGGATGTCCCAGATGATTATGGCCTGAGGGTCATCCTGCGTGTCCATCAGGGGGCTAAAGGTCACCAGGTACCTAGAAGAGAGGGAGGCAACACTGCATGCTATCCTCCTCTCCCGGGAGGATCACAGTCTGTCTGTGCAGCCAGAACAAGCAGTCAGAACTCACGGAACCAACTCTCTCCCTAGAGACCACACTCTCCCAGCCCCAAGAGATCCCAAGCGGAGTGGGAAGCAGAAGCAGCACTTGTTCGTTCTTGGTGTCAACACACGGCAGGCATTCCAGTTTATCCAAGATCAGCACAGGAAAAATCACGCAGATCCTACACAAAAGTCTGCTGAGTGATCTAGAGGGAGACGCAGTGTGGAATTCTTTTTTTTTTTTTTTGAGACAAAATCTCACCCCGTTGTTCAGGCTGGGGTGCAATGGCATGATCTCAGCTCATGCAACCTCTACTTCCTGGGTTCAAGCAATTCTTGTATCTTAGCCTCCTGAGTAGCAAGCATTATAGGTGCCCGCTACCATGCCCAGCTGATTTTTGTATTTTTGGTAGAGGTGGGGTTTCACCATGTTAGGCTGGTCTTGAACTCCTGACCTCAGGTGATCCACCTGCCTTGGCCTCCAAAAGTGCTGGGATTACAGGCATGAGCCACTGTGCCTGGTCAGAATTCTATCTTTACCAATGTTTAGTTAAGACTAACAAGGTTAAAAAAAAAATACAGCTGGGCATGGTGGCTCATTCCTTTAACCCCAACACTTTGGGAGGCCAAGGCAGGTGAATCACCTGAGGTCAGGAGTTCAAGACCAGCCTAACATGGTGAAACCCCACCTTTACCAAAAATACAAAAATTAGCTGGGCATGGCGGCGGGCGCTTCTAATCCCAGTCATTCCAGAGGCTGAGGCAGGAGAATCACTTAGAACCTGGGAAGGGGAGGTTACAGTGAGCTGAGATCACGTCATTACATTCCAGCCTGGACAACAAGAGTGAAATCCCATCTTAAAAAAAAAAAAAAGTCCCATCCAGTTCAAAAGCCAGCATAAGTCTGATGGGAAACTTTAGAGCCCAGTAGGCGTTCCCAAACTTTTTACACAGGGGGCCTGTTCACTGTCCCTCAGACCGTTGGAGGGCTGCCACATACTGTGCTCCTCTCACTGATCACCAATGAAAGAGGTGCCCCTTCCTGATGTGCGGCGGGGGGGCTGGATAAATGGCCTCAGGGGGCCGCAGTTTGGGGATGCCTGCTTTAGAGCCTAGAGGCTCCTCCCAGCCATTATTTACCTGACTGCTGGCTTGTTTGGAGCTACTGCACCTGCTCACTCAGTTCACACAGTGTTAACAGACAGTCCTCTACATCAGAGGGGAAGGCAGACACAACCCATGAGGGCAAAGCAGAACAGCCCCATCTCGCCCTCACACTGCCTTCCACAACCATGCCTTTCCCTAGCAGCACTCAGACAACCAGATTAGCTAGATTAAAAACCCTGGCTTGGCCGGGTGCGGTGGCTCACACTTGTAATCCCAGTGCTCTGGGAGGTCAAGGCAGGAGGAACACTTGAGCCCAGGGATTTGAGACTAGCCTGTGCAACAAAGTGAGACCCACATCTCTAGAAAAAATAAAATTAGCTATAAGTCGTGATATGTGCCTGTGGTCCCAGGATGGACCACTCAGGAGGATGAGGTGGGAGAATCGCTTGACTTTGGGAGGCTGAGGCTACCTACAATGAGCCTGCAATGGCACCGAGCCTGGGTGACAGAGCAAGGAAAATTTATTATCTGTAAAATATGTGACCTTAGATTAGATCCTGAAGGAAAGTAAATAATATACAGAACTATTAGGTCAAGTAACAAAATTAGAATATGGCAATGCAATCAAATGTTAAAACAATGTTAAATCCCTGAAGTCAGTGCCTGCAATGCTAACAAAATCCTATTTCTAGGAATACAGATTCAGGGCTAAAGGGACATGTCACTTCAACTTACAAATGGCTCAGGAAAAGTATCTATACAGAGACAACAGAGGATGACACAAAGGCAACCAAATGTGAGAAGATCTCAGTAAAGCACACCAGCGTTCTCCGCACTCCTATCTTTCTACTAAGTTTGAAATGCTACAAAATTAAAGACTACCTATAGAAGGCTGGCATGGGGTGAAAAGCATAGAAATTCCACGGGCGTTTTTCTAGCAGCTTACCTTTCACAAGGTGAGAAATCAATGAGCTGAACCCCTTGGTGGCTGAATCTCTGAATCTGCTTGAATTTCTCTCCCCCCCATAAAGCAATGCCTCTTTGATGAAAGGTAGCCAGGTAGGTGCCCTTAGGAGACCAACGCACATATGTCTCTGTCCATCTCTGCAGAAAAAGGCAGTGCAAAATATCAAACATCAAGACCTTCCTACAGTGAATATATTCTGCAAACTCTTAACTGAAACACACAAAGCCTGTTCACTTCTCAGGATCTACTTCAAAGCTCGAAGAGGAACAAAATAAGTTGTTTTCAGAAAGTAATCTCAAAGAAAATATGTCACCTGCTCTTTCAGTTTTCTGATGGAACAAAGTTCCACTTTGTTAAGGAAACAGGGGAGGTGAGTCCCGCCCCCAGTGGCAGCAAATACACACCGCTCTTTCTTCAATTGAGACAGGGTCTTTCACGTCATTCCAGAATATGGAGGTGCGGTCTCCACTCTCAAAAATCACACTATACTGATCTCTGCATTCTGCCTCTTCAAGCCAGTAACGTAAATTCCCCTTATACATAAAAAAAAAAAGGGAAGGAATATAACATTTCATTAATTTTAAAAAAACTCATTCACAGCTATTGCTCTTAAAGACATGACAAATTCAGTCCACACCTCAACTCCCAAGTCACACCTTAACCTCAAGTCAAGCCACCATCCAGCATTTCTTTTCTCCCTTTTTTTTTTTTGAGACAGGGTCTTGCTCTGTTGCCCAGGCTGGAGCTCAGTGGCACAATCATAGCTCACGGTGGCCTCAACCTCCCAGACTCAAGTGATCCTCCCACCTCAGCCTCCCAAGTGGTTGGGAATACAGGTGCATGCCAGACCCAGCTAATTTATGTACTTACTTTTTGTAAAGAGGGGGGTCTCACTTTGTTGCCCGGGCTGATCTTGAATTCCTGGAACTAAGGGATCCCCCTACTTTAGCCTCCCTAAGTACTGGGGTTACAGGTGTGAGCCACCACGCCCCAGCAGCACTGCTTTAAACTACTGAGATGCAGGTTTCAGGCCACTCACCAGGTCTTTGAAAGGCTGCTTCTCTGGAATATCCCACTCATCACTGATGGTCATATACCTAGAGGAGAAAGGAGACTGTCTAACCCCACGCCCTGATGACTGGAAAGAGTACCCCATGAGGGGTCCAGCATGGCCCTACTGCACTCTTGCCTGCCCAGCCCCATGGCTGTGACTGGCAAAACTGGAACGGGTGCTACGGGCCAGGAGCTTGGGGCAGGGCTGTGAAATGGTCCTGTGGCCCTGCAGAAGCCTGACCAGAAAGGACGTGAACAATCTGACAGGCACCAATGCCCACCGAGAAGCACCAAACCACCCAGACGTGGCCGGTCACTTGCACATCAACGTCCACTTCCTCATGGCCAAGTTTGAACTTACTTGTCAAAATCCGTGAAAAGGTTGACCCGGAACGTGTGCTGCTTGTCCAGCTTGTAGCCGTCGGCGTTCTTCACGGCATCCACAGCATGGGCAGGGGATGCGTACTCCAGGAAAATATACCTGAGTGAGAGAGGGCCGTTATACACACGCACACCATAAGGCTGGACAGGTATGCACTGTCTGCCCCACCCCTCTCCGTGGACAGGCCCCCTGTACCAGGAGTTATCTGTGCTGTTCTTCCTGCCTGGAGCCTAAGGCAGTCACACAGAGGACAGACCCACAGCCAAGGAGCTCCCTAAGTTAGAGGAAAACCTAACCAGAAGATTTGAGTCTCTAGTTTTATGATTATAAATTACAGAAAAGTTAATCAAAACATCCATGACTGTGGCGATGGTTTCATGAAGTGTACACATCAAAATCTATGAAACTGTATACTTTAAAACTATGCAGATTTATTATGTATCCATTATCTCAATAAAGCTGTTTTAAAAAAAAACTTGTGGCTGGGTGCTGTGGCTCATGTTTGGGAGGCTGAGGTGGGCAGATCACTTGAGTTCAGGAGATCCAGACCAGCCTGGGCAACACGGCAAAACTTCCTCTCTAATAAAAATACAAAAATTAGCCAGGCATGGTGGCATGCGCCTGTAAGTCCAGCTGCTTGTGAAGCTAGGACAGAATTGCTTGAACCTGGGAGGCAAAGGTTGCAGTGAGCTGAGATCGCACCACTGCGCTCCAGCCTGGGCAAAAGAGTGAGACTCTGTCTCAGAAATAAATAAAATCTTAAAAATAGCCTAATATTGTGTATTACAGACAACATTACAAAGGACCTCAGAGGACGTTTCATTGTAACATGAGTAACCGAGGATCAAGAGGCTACACCCTTCAAATGACTGCCCAATATAAAAACACAGTAGCATTACCTACATTTGATGATTTTTCTAGAAACGAAAACTGTTCTGTCTTGTTCTGTCACCCAGGCTGGAGTGCAGCTACATAATCATAGCTCACTGCGGCCTCAAACTCCTGACCTTAGTCTTCAAGAGTGTTGGGAGTTTAGGTGTAAGCCACCATGCTGGCCTATTCTAGGTAATTTTAAAAACTTTAAAACCTTAACTAAAAAAAACGAACTTTATCATCTTCTCTTTCACTGCTTTGGAGAGCTTCCCGCTGAGGGCGGCCTGAAAAAGTGAATGGCCCATGTGCCTGGGCGAGGTAGCAGTGCAACACTCCTTCATCACGACGTGCCAGACACAGATGAGACTTCTCTCACAGGCGAACACTCACCCTTTTGTCTTTCCATCCTCTTCAGGATAAAAATCATTTGTGATTTTCCCAAACTTGGAAAAGATCTTGTGGATGACATTTTTGAGTTTCTCAAGTCGGTCAGGTCCCACTTGAGGGACATTGTCCACTACAATCACCGAATCAATTCCATCTGCTTCCTGGGGTCGATCTTTGAGTACATCTCCCAGTAATTCTGAAAGAGACAGAGATTTGTCAAATGACCATTTTTAGCATGAAAAACATTAACACATTAACTCAGCACACTGAATAAATATCCAGGAAGTAACAATGAATCATCTAAATGCTTTTGCTGTGAGCAAAAGAAACCCCAACCCTAGCTTGTTTCAGAATTTAAACATGAGAAGTGGGGAGAAGACTGGGACTCTTCTCTCCCCCTTTGATAGAAATGTCAACAGTAAAGGTATGTCAGTTAAGTTCTGGCAATAACCAAAGACCAAAAGACAGTAACAATAAAAAGCTTTTAACAATGCAAAATGCAAACGAAGAAGAAAATCTAAAGAATATCCAATATTAGATCCTTCAGAGATCCCTAGATTTTGAAAGGTTTCTAGCAACACCTAGGCAGAACCCCATCCCAATGTCAATGAAAACTGACTTTTACAGAAGATTTTAGCAAACAAGTAAATATTTAAATGCTCAATATATTCACAGCACATTTGTGCCGTGAATTCAAACTACTAGAAATTATTCAAGGAGGAAAACCTCTCTTGAGTGAAATGGGATGAAAATAGTAACTCTTCTCCCACCTCCTGTTCCCAGTTATTTTCATGTTTTCAGGCAGTGAATGGGATAGCCATTCACAAGGGGATCAGGAAAAAAAACAAAGAGGGAAGGCACCTGGGGTGAGCTTCCCGACTGGCCCACCACCAGGCACCTTCGTCCAAAACCCCTTATCCAACATTCCCTATGTTAAAAATCTCGAAGGATCAACACAGGAGATAGGGATGGAGCAAAGTGTTCTTCCTACTCACATGCCACTCCACACATTTCTGACACCAGATGTGGGTCCATATCAAGCAGTTCTCCAGGGGCTACCAGCTGGGTGTCCTCCAACTTAACCCAATTCAGACACTGTCTACCGGGAATTAGCATCAGATCCCACAGGCTGAAGGCTCAGTCCCAAAGAAGGGTCCCCATTTCAGATGGCAATTGTGGGTAGTGGGCTGTCATCTCCAGTTCTGACCAAAAGCCTCCAAAGCAGGGTTCCCACTATTCCCCACTTCTTGGGTTACAACAACAGCTTACAGGATTCAGGGTGCTAGGTTTGCCAGCTTATTATAATAGACGTTACAGAGAACACAAAGAAGCAGATGGAAGAGAAGCGCAGGGTCTCCCTGTGCTTTCCAGGCACACCACCCTGCAGAAGCCTCCACCTGTTCAGCTTATGGAGCCTCCTGAACCCGGCCCTTCTGGCTTTCATTACACAGGTGTGATTACTGACATCACTGAGCACTGGTGATCAACTCAACTTTCAGCCCTCTTCCTTCTGAGGAGCAGGGCGAGACCTAAAAGTCAATTAAATGTCCTGAAAGCCTGATCTGCATTTACAAGGCTTGCAATAAAAGGCTCAGCTTTTACATAAACTGTGTACTCCTTTCGCACAAGCTCAAAGCATCTAGACTAGAAGAACCTGCCCACTCCTAGGAAGGAAATATATGAAGTAACTACACCATAAATACACATCGCCTGGATCACTCTCAGCCCAAGCATCAGTTACGCACAGTTCACAGTTTCCCAATCTATCTACAGGAAAAATAGAAGGGAACAATTCTCAACACTAAATAGCAAACAGAAAGAGAAAAAATAGTTAATGAGCCAAAAAAGACACTTAAGAGTTAAAATCCTGATCACATATTTGTTTCACCAAACACCAAAGGCAGCTGAAACATTTACCTGAAAGGATGATTGCAGACTGGGATGCTAATCTGTCCCAAAAACCTAAAGGCAGCAAGACAGGGACTCCAGGCCATCTCTGGTCTGCTCCCTGGAAGACCTGACCCCTTCTGGAAAGAACTGATAGTCACACACTGTCTTGCACACTGACCCTGAAGGGCAGCTCTTCTCATAAAACACAAAACCTACCAGAGTTAGCAACCACAACCAAGGGGACCATGACAAATGCTGGTTTGCTGAGCCTGAGTTCCCCAGGACCAGATGCCTCACCTGTCACTCTGGCCAACACTGCAGCTTCAGGATAACCCACAGTCATCACCCAGCCCAGCCAACCTTGTGGTCATATTAGCATCCTCTGGCTTTTCCCAATTCCAGAAAGAATTTACATATTAGAAATTTGTGTATTCGATGGGCTCAAATAATGCTTTAAAAAAACAACTCAGGCTGGGTGTGCTGGCTCACACCTGTAATCCCAGCACTTTGGGAGGCCAAGGCCAGAGATCATGAAGTCAGGAGTTCAAGACCAGCCTGGCCAACACGGTGAAACCCTGTCTCTATTTTAAAAAAAAGCAAACAACAAAAACTCAGCAGAATATCCAAGGGCTGAAAACAATCACTAAACCAAAAGTTTTGATTTCAAAATCTAAGAAAAATCAAAGTGTTTCAAAGAACACCGTTCTAAGCAGGAGAGCCTGGGGGACCCCAAGCAGTGCTGACCCACTGGGAATTCTCAGCAGCCTACTCCACCTCCAGGGAGCAGAGGACTTAAACTAGATGCTCCCAAGGTCTTCACTACTTTGTGGTGTCCTTCCTGCTTTTCACACTAATATTTAGTCTTGTATGAAAAAAAGTGCAATAAAATAATGGTCACATTAACTGACAGCCTTTTTATTCTTTAATGTTTCACTTTTTGAGACAGAGTCTCACTGTCGCCCAGGCTGGAGGACAGTAATGGGATCTCGGCTCACTGAAAGCTCAGTTTCCTGGGTTCAAGTGATTCTCGTGCCTCAGCCTACCAAGTAGCTGAGACTACAGGTGTGCACCAACACACCTGGCTGATTTTTACATTTCTGATAGCCTTTAAAAAATACATTTAAACTGGCCAAAGTGAGCGAATCACGAGGTCAGGAGTTCAAGAGCAGGCTGGCCAATTTGGTGAAACCCCCTACTAAAATACAAAAATTAGCTGGGCATGGCGGTGCACACCTGTAGTCCCAGTTACTCAGGAGGCTGAGGCAGCAGAATTGCTTGAACCCAGGAGCAGAGGCTGCAGTGAGCTGAGATCATGCCACTGTACTCCAGCCTGGGTGACAGAGCAAAACTCCGTCTCAAAAAAATAAATAAATAAACATTTAAATTATAAGTTGGCAACTCAATGTTGTTCCCTAAATTGCCTTAGTGTATCACCGGCTGTGTCAGCAAGAGTATTTTTATTCTTCTCACTCTAGCATTAACTTAGACAACAGACAGGCTGATGTGTTCCCCACTTAAAGATTTAAGACGGCTGAAAACAAAACAAAAACAAATTAGATCAGCTCTCATCAGAAGTCACTTTAGGAGAGGAGCGCCTTCAGGCGGGAAGCAGAAATACGCCTGTAAATCCAATCAAGGCAGAGATGAAAGCAAAGCAGGCTGTTATCCACAATATTAAAACCTGGAAAAATAACTCGCCTTACAGGTTTACCGTGGGGGAGGGGTGGATAAACGAAAACCAAACTGGAATTTGACAGGGACTGCTTGTCCTACCAGGGAAGTCTCTGGAGGTGGACAACTCTGCGGGGCAGGAAGACAAAAATTGCCGGCTCTGCCACAACCTGTTACTACGATCCCAACCTTGGAAGGTCTGACGGGTCAGCTCTGGGGACACCGGGTTCTGGGTTTTTGCTGTACCCGCAGCAGCGACGCTCCCGGCACGGGCACGCCCAGTCATAACGGGGTCCCCCTGGAGCCCTCTCCCACCCTCAGACTTCTGATGGTCTCACAAACGCCCAGCTTCCGAAGTGGGCTCCATCCGGCCCCCTCTTCTACAAAAGGGGAGGTGCTGGGCTCGCAGAACACCTCCGGGGCGGGCAGCCGGGACCCTCCTCCGCGGCGGCCTCTCGGGGACACGCGGATACCCTCGCTGGGACCTGCGCACGAACCCACCTCGGGAGCCCCACACACGCTTCCGCGCCGCGCGCCGGCCCCGCGCCGGGTGCCCTCACCTTCCTCGCTCACGTCGTCCACGAAATCCTCGGGGTCGCTGAAAGAGGGCTCGTCCGCGTCGCCATTCTCCAGCGCCCGGGGCTCGGCCTCGGCCGCGCTGCCCTCGTTTCCTCCAGCGTCCTCAGACGCCGCCTGGGCCCGGCTGTCGGCGCGCTCGTCCCGGGCCTGTATCCCTCGGGCCTCTTCCTGTGCTGGGGCTCGGGGCTCGGCATGCGACCCCGGCGGCTCCTCGGCGGCCGACGGCGAAGGCGACTCGGATGGGCCGGAGGCCGCCTCCGCCTCCGTCCTCACCTCGGGCTCCGGTCCGGTCTCCGCGGCCGCCACCTCCTCACTAACAGCCTCGGTCTCCGCCGCCTCCGGAGCGCCAGGCCCCGCGGGCCGCAGCAACCCCACGTCTGGCGGCGGCTCGGCGGCCGGCTGCTGCTGGCCGGGCTCGGCGCGCTCCTGGGCCGCCTCAGGCACCACCACGTTCTCTGCGTCCTGCATGGGCCCAACGCTACCTCCCCACAGAGTCCGCAGCCGCCGCGCTTCCGACTCTCCCAGGCCGCACCGCGCGCCGCGCCGGCTACAGCCCAGCCATGTGCGTGCGACCGGGAGGCCACACCAAGGCCGCAGGGCGGGGGGTGCACCTACGCCATGGGCCCTCACGATGAGACTAAGAGGGCTTACATCCGCAGGACCGCGTCCAAAAATCACCGAACTGACATTTTTGTGACAAGAAAGTGCTTAACCCCATTCGTCAAGGTTGTTTCTAGCCATCAGTAAACTCATGGGAGCATTGACCACCCTGTGTGTGGCAGGAGATGGTTTTGTCCAACATGGCGGCCCCCTTTTCGTCTCCCGTCGGGCGCTGCGAGTCGAGACTGAACTATTTGTAGCGCCGAAAGCGGGGACCAAACATCATTTTAGTATGCGAAGTGCTATGCAAATGTCGTCTAACTCAACGGTTAATACCATAGGAAAGTGGAGGCTCAAAAGGCGATTGTTCAGGGCGTCTCAGCTTTTTGCTAGGCAAACTGTTTAGCTTACATTCCTAATGTCCCCCTGTCCGTGTAGGTCACTTGAACTCGTCTACTGGGCAAAAGGACGGACAACTCCAAAATAGAAAAGGAATTCAGGGCGAGCCAGAGGCGGCCCACACGACTAGAAGGACGACTGTCTCGCGTGATACAAAAATGTGTCTGAGTTGCTTTAATCGCTTACCCCCAATTCTTCCCTTAATGGCCGTCACCGCCGGCTTCCCCCCATTCGGGCGTTTACAGTGGTTCGATCCACCGGAGGCCACCGCCCTCCGCGCGGGAGAGCGCGGGTCACGTGGCGGCAGGGGCGGGTCTTCGCCGCCTAGGGTGCTAGGCTGACCGTGGGAGGACCGAAACCGCTAGGTCTTCGCTGGTGCTCGTGGGACGGATATTGGGTGTTTCCGTCTCCTAGCTTGCTTTTGTCAGTAGTGGACGACAACTACTCGTTGTGGGTTGTCTTCCTCATCCTAGAACACAACGTGGTGGCTCACGCCTGTGATCCCAACGCTTTAGGAGGCTGAGGTAGAAGGATCTCTTGAGCGTGGGAGTTTGAGACCAGCCTGGCCAACGCAGCCTCCCCCAGCCCCCCAGCCCTCCTCTCTACCAAAATAAACAGGTGGTACTCAGGAGCTGGGGAGGAGAGTAGGGAGTGTTTAATGGGGACAGACCTTCAGTTTCGGAGATGACGGTGGTGATGGTTGCACAACCTGGTGAATGTACTTGATGCCACTGAACTGTGTACTAAACTGCGTATTAAAACAACTAGCCCAGCTTCCGAAGTGGGCTCCTGTCTTTCCAATACTTTGGGAGGCCCAGGCGGGAGGATCACTCGAGTCCAGGAGTTGACGACCAGCCTGGGCAACATGGTGGGACCCTGTCTTGAAAAAATAAAAAATGCTAAAAAGGTAAATTTTAGGTACATTTCGTCATATAGTTTTTTGTTTGTTTTCAGCGACAGGGCTCGCCCTGTTGCCCAGGCTAGGGTGAAGTGGCATAATCACAGCACCGCTGCACCTCCCAGCCTCAAGAGAATCCTTCCACCTCGGCCTCCCGAAGTGCCAGCCTTAAGGTGAATCACCTCTCAGGGCCTAGCCATTTTAATATGCAGTTCAGTGGCATTAAGTGACATTCCCAAGTACCAGGGACTGAAGGTGTATGCCACCACACCCAGCTAGTTTCTTTATTATTTGTAGATGGTGTAAAGTTTATTCTCTGTAGGTTTATTGCTGAGTTAAAAACGAGGTAACTGAGACCAGCACAAGAAAATTAGATGCCAGCTTATTCAGGTCCCTGTGAAGTTCTGTGGTCCCGGGGAGAGGGGCCAGGGAAGTCGCGCCTGACTCCTCTCAGGAGTGGGGTTTTATAGGGAGTTAAGGCGTTGGATTGGTTGGAAACAGGATGTGGACGAGGTGAGCTGCTGTTGGTAGGTAGGTGGGATTTCCAGTGAGCGGGCTAAGTGCTGCGTGCAGAGGGGATTTCCAAGGGCGGGGCTAGGTGCCGGGTGCAGAGGGGATTTCCCAGGGTGGGGTTAGGTGCCGTGTGCAGAGGGGATTTCCAAGGGCGGGGCTAGGTGCCGGGTGCAGAGGGGATTTCCAAGGGTGAGGCTAGGTGCCGTGTGCAGAGGGGATTTCCAAGGATGGGGCTAGGTGCCCAGTGCAGAGCGGATTTCCCAGGGCGGGGTTAGGTGCCGTGTGCAGAGGGGATTTCCAAGGGCGGGGCTAGGTGCCGTGTGCAGAGGGGATTTCCAAGGGTGGGGCTAGGTGCCGTGTGCAGAGGGGATTTCCAAGGATGGGGCTAGGTGCCGGGTGCAGAGGGGATTTCCAAGGCGGAGCTAGATGATAGGCATATTCTGATAACGTAATTTTCAAGCAGGGAGGGAGATGGGCGTGTTCGAACTCCCAGCTAGGCAACCAGCCTTACAGATGGCATCTCACTAAGTTACCTAGGCTGGTCTCAAACTCTTGGCCTCAAGCAGTCCTGCCTCGGCTTTCCAAAGTGCTAGGATTATAGGTATGAGCCACCATTCCCGTCACGTTCTAATGGTGTTTAAAAGAGCAAAAAAGCAGCAGAGTCTTCCCCATGTCTAGTACTAGGTTTGACGACGACTCATCATGCTGTCAGCTGTGTAACTTTGGACAGGTTACTTAATGCCTCTGCCTCAGTTTCTCCATCTGTACAATAAGTGATAACACATTTTTTAAATAGAGATGGGATCTCGGCTGGGCACAGTGGCTCATGCCTGTAATCCCAGCACTTTGGGAGGCCAAGGCGGGTGGACTACCTGAGGTCTGGAGATCGAGATCAACCTGGCCAAGATGGTAAAACCCTGTCTCTACTAAAAATACAAAAATTAGCCCAGTGTGGTGGCATGCGCCAGCTACTCGGGAGGCTGAGGCAGAGAACTACTTGAACCCAGGAAATGGAGGTTGCAGTCAGCTGAGATCCTGCCACTGCACTCCAGTCTGGGCAACAGAGCGAGACTCTTGTCTTAAAAAGAAAAAAAAAAAGACAGATGGGGTCTCACTATGGTGCTCGGGTGTCACCTGGACTCCTGGGCTCAAGCAGTCATCCCACCTCAGTCTCCCAAAGTGCTGGAATTTCAGGCATGAGCCACCGCACCCAGCCAGGTGGCTAGATGACACATTTTAGTGTGTGGCTGGTGGGACAGTTCCAGAAAAGCAAACTAGGTTTCACCTCCAGACCAAATTATCCTCCCAATTTCTACTTTCCGCTGCAGCTTTCCTTAGACCAGGCGTCCCCAAACTACATGCGGCCCCCTGAGGCCATTTATCCGGCCCCCCGCCACACTTCAGGAAGGGGCACCTCTTTCATTGGTGGTCAGTGAGAGGAGCACAGTATGTGGCAGCCCTCCAACGGTCTGAGGGACAGTGAACTGGCCCCCTGTGTAAAAAGTGTGGGGATGCCTGCCTTAGATCATCAGCCTCTGCCAACTCTTTTCTTCTAGAAAATGCTAAAAGGTAGAAGTCAGTGAACAAGAAGCAAATACTAACCAAAGAGCTTGAAACAGCTGATTTTAGCTTGGCAACTGCATGTTTCCTAGAAGAGGAAAACTCTTCTGTGGCAGGCGTGCATTGCACAGAGGAGGCACTCTTCACTTTGCTGGGGAATGGACTTCCTTAGCCTATTTTTTTTTTTTTTTTTTTTTTTTTTTTTTTGAGACGGAGTCTCCCTCTGTCACCAGGCTGGGGTGTGATCTTGTCTCACTGCAACCTCCACCTCCCAGGTTCAGGCAATTCTGCCTCAGCCTCCAGAGTAGCTGGGACTATAGGTGCCCGCCACAACACCCAGCTAATTTTTGTATTTTCAGTAGAGATGGAGTTTCACCATGTTGGGCAGGCTGGTCTCTATCTCTTGACCTCGTAATCCACCTAGCTCAGCCTCAAAGTGCTGTGCTGGGATTACAGGCATGAGCCACCATATCCAGCCACCTTTTTTTTTTCTTTGAGGCAGAGTTTTACTCTTGTTGCCCAGGCTGGAGTGCAGTGGTGGGAACTTGGCTCACTGCAACCTCTGCCTCCCGGGTTCAAGCAATTCTCCTGCCTCAGCCTCCGGATTAGCTGGGATTACGGGTGCCCACCACCACACCCGGCTAATTTTTGTATTTTTAGTAGAGATGGGGTTCATTTTGGCCAGGCTGTTCTCAAACTCCTGACCTCAAGTGATCCACCTGCCTCGGCCTCCCAAAGTGCTGGGGTTACAGGTGTCAGCCACCGTGCCTGGCCTTTCCTAGCCTTTTCTACAGGTAAAACTATGCAGAAAATATATCTAAGAAGTGCTGCTGTTGATACTCAAAATTATGTGAGTGCCTTCTTTGTGGTAGGTACTCTGGTGGGGGTACAGAGGTGAGTAAACCACATAAGTTTACATAGTTTACATGAACCTGTCTGTAATGGGTTCATAAATGACATTCCTGCTTTTAAAAGGCGATGGCAAATTCTGCTCCCCCAAATGTAGGTGAACTTAAGGCATGGTGCAGTGGTGACCCTGTAATCCTCACGCTTTGAGAGGCCAAGCTGGGAGGACCGCTTGAGCCCAGGAGTTCAGCCAGCCTGGCCAACGAGGCGAAGCCCCTTTCTATTAAAAATACAAAAATTAGCCAGGTGTGGTGGCATGCACCTCTAGTCCCAGCTACTCAAGAGTCTGAGGAGAGTCACTCGAACCTGGGAGGCAGAGGTTGCGGTGAGCCGAGATGGTACCACTGCATTCCAGCCTGGGTGCCACAGCAAGACTCTGTCTCAAAAACAAAACAAAATTATAAAAATAAGAAATTAGCTGGGCCTGGTGGTATGCTCTTGTAGTCTCATCTACCCTGGAGGCTGATGTGGGAGAATCACTTGAGCCCAGGAGTGCAGTGGGATGATCTCTGCTCACTGCAACCTCTGCCTTCCAGGTTCAAGCAATTCTGCCTCAGCTTCCCCAGTAGCTGGGATTACAGGCACCCGCCACTATGCCCAGCTAATTTTTGTGTCTTTGTTAGAGACAAGGTTTTGCCATGTTGGCCAGGCTGGTCTCGAACTCCTGACCTCAGGTGATCTCCCACCTCTGCCTCCCAAAGTTCTAGGATTACAGGTGTGAACCACCACGCCCGGCGTTATGTTACTTACATGTGCAAGCTTACAATGAAGTTTATAGATTAGGCATAGTAAGAGATGGCTGGGTGTGGTGGCTCACACCTGTAATCTCAGCACTTTCAGAGGCTGAGGTGGGTGGATCACAAGGTCTGGAGATCAAGACCATCCTGGCTAACACGGTGAGACCCCGTCTCCACTAAAACTACAAAAAATTAGCTGGGCATGGTGGCATGCACCTGTAGTCGCAGCTAGT